GGGGGAGTTGCAAGTTTAGTACCTAATATAGAAGACAGCAAATCATCATCACCAGGAATGTATTCTGCAGTTCTCCTTGATTTGTTCATACCAAATGATTCGCTCGAGTTTAAACTATGTACTGTCAAAGTACTCTCTGTGAAACTACGTTTCTTTCCTGACATGGCTTTGCTCGCAGCACCACCCCCATCGTCCCCAGAAACCTCTTTCTCAGGCGTGGTCTCCAATAGCAACTCATTTGGTTTACAAGTTTGCCCCTCTGATGCAGATAGCATCTTTTCAGGCGCAGGCAAGTCCGAAGCCGCAGATTTTTCTACATTCTCCAACTGATTATCACATGATGCTGCATTATCCATTTCTTCATCAAACTTCCTGCAATCATTTGGAGTCTCTCCAGATCCTGCAGGCTCAACAAGCTGTCTTTTTTCTGCATTTGGTTCTAGAATATCAGTTGAATGGGTCCCTTCACCTAAAAGGAATAAAAGAATTCGTTACACAACTATAGCACATATACCGAGAAAACCTGCACCTCAATAGACAAACCCAAACCATGAAGTGTAAGTCAATAACGAATGGTAATTAGGGGGAAACCATATATGTACCTCTAAGAGATGACGCATCAAGTTGTGACCGAGTGCTGCAAGCACGGAGCCCAGGCAAGTCATTAGATCCCATGTGTTCATTAGAATGGTTCAGACCATTTGTTTCTTTTTGCTCTTGAAGTGTTTGAGCTTCAACATTCACAACTTCAGGTCTACCTGGTGATTCTGGTGGATAAACAACATTTGATGCCAATGCATTGCTAGGGGAGCATGACTCTCCCGTATTATTGTGAATTTCAACGTCCGCTGAACAAGTCCTACGACCAGGATCGTCCATTTCAGTGGTTACCTGGGAGCAAGTAGGAGATTCAGCACATTGTACATCTGTTCTCTCTACATGGTGAGCAGTTAGTTTGTTGTTTAATACAACGCCATTGTGTATGTCTTCCACCCTAGTTGGACCATCGAGTGCACTAACATTTCCATTTGAACATTCTGGTTCTAGAGGAATGGGATTAACATGCTCAAGCATGACAGATGAAGGTGCTGACAGATCGTTATCCGCTGAGATGTTCTCTTTAATAACTGCAATGGATGCTGAATGTACCTGTGTCTTCGCTTGTTTCATCTCCATGTCACCAGAAAGGTAGCCATTTTCCTCAGAACGAGAAACAGTTTCAAGGGCATCAGACTTACTCAGAGTTACTGTACATTCCAGTGCTTCGGGTTCTAATAAATCATGGTCTTTTGATTCTGTTTGACCATCACAGGACAGAGCCCCCTGAACATTCGAAGGGCTTGGACATTCCATAAATCCAGGAGTAAGCGGGGTTTGAGCAAGCACTATAGCTTCTCCATTCGCTGCTTGAATTTTGTTCTATTTCAAAGACAATAAACATATACATTAAATAGAGTAGTGACAAGTAACTATGGGTGATCCATCCCTGAACCCCCCACACAAACAGAGATAGGCATACAGAGGGTGAAAAAAAAAAACAAAAACAAAAACAAAACAAAAATGAAAACAGAACAGAACAGAACAGTCACACACACATACATACAGCAACACAAGTTTTTGGGAAGTATTAGCCAACCTGGTCACCATCATTGTTTGTTTGCATTCGTGCTGTAGTTCCAGATATTCCCTCATAAGCTTCATCCTTTTCGACAGGTGTCATCGGTTGAGCCGATGCCAGTGGTTCAGTACTGTAACAAGAGAATGGATAAGGTACATCACAAGAATTAGAGTTCTATATGATCCCATGAATCAACCAACAGAAGTATCACGAGCCCACCCCACCCAGCACAATTAAGGAGTAAGGCCTGACAGGTAACACTTTAACATGATCACAAGTGTTAGAAGAACAAAGAATACATATCAATTACATGCTATACAAATGTAAGCAGCTTACTCTGGAATTCCATTATTTTCTTTGGCCGCAACCTTGCCTAAGAACAGATCCTGTTTGTCGACATTTTCAGGTAGGCAAAGCTTTTGTGAGAACAGAATATTTAAGAAATAAATAATAATAATAATAATAATAATAATAATAATAATAATAATAATAATAATAATAGTAAATGTGCCCATGGGATTTTCATGTGACCAACTGCATATATTTAAAAATAAAAACAAAGATAGCAATGAAGCCATAAATATTGAAAGACACAGCCAACAAAAGTAATCCATGTCTACAATTACGTCTGGTTGCTAACTGGACCATACATGGAAGCAAAGAAATCTATTTGGAAAAGAAAGTTACTAAAAGCCTGATTTCCTACATTCCACTTCTTCCCAAACACAGTTCGTGGAAATCTTATAATACCTTCCTTTTACCCTTCATAAATGCACTTGTGCAGCGCTTAGCTAACTCAATCTATGTTCACGTACCTGACGACACTAGATTGACAAAATGTTTATAACAATTCAAAAGCTAGCTTTCATCATGCACCAACAGTAGTGTTGATTTACTTTTGACAGGCGACTGACACCAAACAAGCTAGGAATTTCTAGTTAGTCCAACCAAATCATGATAAACAATACACCATTTTCTTGGTACGAAAAAAAATTGTACTACATTAGAGAGTTAGAAACAATTCATCAGTAGTTTCCAAGTTTGTTTTCAAAGTGGTCTGAATCATATTTACCTCATCAAGGTCCAAACGAATTTGAGAAGTGTCACCATCGCCAAACCGCTCTGGAAACAATGCATAAAATATGCAAATTGACATTAATTTGCAATTTTGAAACATAAAACCAATAATCAACTTATTTCATTCATTAAAGCAACGTCAATTTGCAATCAGCAGTATACTTAATTTCTAGAGGACAACTTTTGTTTGGAAAAACAGAGAGCAAAAAAGGGCAGAGAGTACCGAGTGAAACACCAAAAATAAAATGAAGAGAAATCTATCAATGATGAAAGAGAAAGAAATCGAAATAAAAACACTAATTTGGTGGAGGACTCAACATCAGAAGGAAAAGAGGGAAAAAAAAGACTATTATTTCTCTACAGCTCAAATAAAATTGATATTACAAGTTCCTGAATTTCGTCCGATGCTACTCTGATTTGGTTAGAATAACACCATGCATACATGTAAGAAACAATCTAAGAATACTAACCATCCAATCCAAACTGAGATGTTGAGTAAACCACACCATCCATGGTATCTTGGAGCGTAATCTGCTCTCTTGCACTGACATGATGATCAACATAGTTCCTGCAAAAATGTCATTTGTCAATAAAATTATGTTCAGATCTATCACAACAACTTCAAAATACCATTTCAAACATGTTGGAACTAACCCCTGTAACATTTCATTGTCAGGAAGCTCGAAATCATCGAGATCAAAGGTCTCAGGCAAGGTGATGGAATGATATGGTGCAGTAGACTCTTCTGGAGGTAAATCAACTGCAGTGGAGCGAAAAGCTTGCTTTATCTTAAGCAAAGCCTCACTGCAATCATCAAAAAGGTAATTCACCTTTCTAGAGTATATCCTGACAACTCCGAGTAAAAGATGACTGGACAACCGAAGAGCTATAGGGACGTCTGGAAAAAGGATTGAATCTGTACCACGAAAATAAACACAGAAATTTGATGAGCAGATTGATATATAAAGATCAAAAAAAAAAAAGGAGCATCATAATCAAGGAACAAGGATAACCCAGCGAGGGAGGGAAGCAGCAGAAATGGAAATCACAAGAATATATGGTAGTATCTACAGGCAATATGGCTGCCTAAAAAAATAAAAAAATAAAAAACTTTGACAGTTTACAATGAAATGGTTGTGTCACCAAAACAAGAAATCTCCACAGGTTGCATTTGGATACACACAAAATTTTGAAAAAAAAAAAGAAAATGACCCGGCAAGTAAATGCTAGCTATATTAAACTTCAATTTTACGTAACTCAACCTAATAGATTACCTGGTTATTTAAAATAAATTTCACAACCAACAAACTTAAAACATAATAAAATCAGCACAAAAAAAAAAGTAAATGTTACAGAAAGGTGTTGAGAGATTTTTTTCCCCCTAAATTATTAAAAAAAAATTAAACACTTACAATTGGCCACTTGAACACAAGGAAAGACAACATAACATAAATTGAATCAGAAATATCACTCCAAAATAAAATAATAGTCTATAAAAGAAAATTGAAATTCAACTAAACAAAAGCTTCAGAGAAGGGCGTCTAAAAATAAATTCAAAATAATAATAATAATATATTCATCATACTTACATGGCAACTAAATCTCAAATTTTATTATTACTATTTTAAGTCGAGAAATGCAAAATTTCAACAACGAAAAATATAATCAAAATTGCTCTTAGGTAATGGAAGCAAGCTAATCAGCAAACAAGAAATTTGGTTTTAAGTCGAACCCCATTACTATGTTAATTTATCGTGCCGCAAAAATGTTTCGCAGTTCCGCAAATCTAAAGCATAAAAAGTCTACTAATTTAGAAACTTTCCCCTTCTTTTTAACAATATCAAACAACAGAAACCAAACAATGTTTCGACTTCCACAAAAGTAAAGCCTAAAAAAAGTCTTAAAAATTTAGCAATAAATATTGAAACGAAACAAAAAAAATAAAGCATATCAAGGATTGAAAACTGACCCACTGAGACTCCAATATCTGTGTCCGCGACCTGATTCTTGCGAAGCTTCCTCTCCAAATGCGCCGCTATCCATATCGTCCCGAGCGGCCCTTTCTTGGCCAAAATGAACTGAGAATAAAACATCTCTCAAACCCTAGCTCTTACTTCACACCGAAAACCCTAGATTTCATACAACCGAAACTTCACCTTCTTTCAGAAACCCTAATTCCCCCGAAACTAACACACAAGAAAAACAGAGCTGTGGAATTATTAAGTAAAATATATAGCATATTCAATAAATAAAGCAAGAAAAACTCCAAATTCTCAACAAACTCTTAGACAATACACCAGAGAAACCCTAATTTCCACAAAAGGAACTTATTCCCCATTTTTGCACAAAATTGAGATTGCAGAAGAAAAAACTTGTTCCGAAACCCGAACGAAGACGAAGGAAGCTGCGAGTGGCTCAACAACTCCTAGAGAGCTCGGAATCGAGCAATTGAAGAAGTCGAATTGAGAGAGTCGTCGGAGAATTAAGTTAGTGAGTTGCGAAAACCCTAGATTGATCGGAACGACGTCGTGGTGAAGTTGAAAACAGCGCAATTGAGAGGCGAAACGAACCCCAGAGAGAGAGTGAGCGAGTGGGAATCAGCGGGAACTGAGTCAGGCGAGCACCGAGTCGGCGATCGGAAGTCGGAGAGAGAGAGAGCGTTTGAGAAGGGAGTGGGTGGAGAGGAGAGAGAGAATGAAAAGGAGAGAGGGGGAGACTTTCCTTTCGAAGATTTTTGCTCCTCCGTTTCCCTAATATGCCCTTCAACGACGCGCACGTGCTTCATACGCTCCAGTGACTGAGCTGGGGAATTCACCTGAACTTTCAGTGGTATTCTTGTCTTTTTACCAGTGTTTAAATTTATTTTTCTTTTTTTTCAGACTTTTAATTGCCGCAACATACCCTCCAACGACGCGTAAGAGCAGAGAAACTAATTAGGAAATTGGCTTTCCTTTTAGTGGCATTTTTGTCTTTTCAGACCCTGATAATTGCCAAATCAAATTTTCATAATGCTAATTATTTTTGTTCGATAATTTATGGGGGGGGAAAGGAGGTCCCTCAACACAGTTCCGTGACATACCCTCGAAAGGCCGTGCACGTGCCTCGTGCGTATACACAAAAGCAACTGAGCTGGAAAATTTGCCAAAACCTTAGAGGCATTTTTGTCTTTTCAGCTTCATCGAGTTTTTTTAAAATATTTTTTATTTAAATTTAAATTAATAATTTAGGGGAAAAAGAAAAGGCATAAAAGTTTGTGCAGGGTGAGGAATAGGGTAGGGTTGTGTTGGGTCGTCCATTTTAGTTCCGATTTTCACATTTGATTTTCATTTTCCCTCCCCTCTCTCTGTGCCTTATTTTGCGCAAATTTTTGGATTTACTTTGAAATGTTTTGTTTTTGTATTGGCGCTCCAACTATAAATATCAAAACGGCTGTTGGTTTTCTTCTCTCTCTCTACCAACGCAGGTCTAATGTTTGAAGTTTGAACAACTGACGTGTACGTGTTTAAAAGGCCGCCGTAGCATTACTGTGCTGGTGGTGTTGTGCTGTTAGTCCAAAGCATCGACTGCATTTAGGATTTATTTTAAAATAATTTTATTTTTACATGAAAATAAAAATAAAAGCGTTTTTAATCTCAAATATAAATTATTTTTAAAAATGTATTCGGTAATTTTTTTAAGAGATTATTTTTAGTATAAAAAAATCTATTAATATCTCTCTCTTTCTCTCTACTCGAGAGATGAGAAAACAGAAACAAAAAATGAAAAACGATTAAAAGTTATTTTTTATTTATTTTTCATTTTACACTAAATCAAAAAATCGTTTTCATTTTCATTTTCTGTCTTTAATTGTGTCAAATACCGTTTCTCTCTCATTTTTATTTTTTCTTTCTTAAAAAACATGAAAAATAAAAATGAAAACAACTTCAAACGGAGCCATCTTTTTTTTAAAGAGTTGTTATTATATTGAGAGCATAATTTTATATGTTTAATAAATTATGTGTAAAATTATTGTGAAAAATATGTAATGATTAAAATAGACACAAATGGACACACTTTAACGCACATATTTATATTTAGTTTTATTTTTATTTCTAAAGTTAGTATTCCTGATGTTCTTACACCAAAATGCTAAAAAAAGTGTTGATTTACATTTTATTACTCAAAATATTTATAAAACCAAAGTATGAAATTTCTTATTTATTGTTGTTATGTGTAAACAATTTAATTTCTTATTTATTATTGTTATTTTTAAACATTTTAGTAATCATCAAAACTATTTGAGTAAAATTTAACATACTATTTGCATTAAAGATTTTCAATTTCCAATTAAGTATCATACTTTTTTAATTTTTCAAAAAAAATATTATAGTTTTTTTTTTAATTTTTTTTCATCCTTGCTACTACCATAATATTTACTGAAACAGTTGCATGGTAACAGAACATGTCACAATATATACAATGACATTTTTATTCAAATTTTAACCGCTGACATCCATTCATGGATACTTTGCAATATTTATTAAAATTAAAAATTTAACATTGTTTAGTAAGAATTACACTCGTGGTCTCATTAGTCTTTCTCATCCGACGTACTGTCACACCTGATGATTAACTCACTTGAACCAACCAAAAAAGGCTAAGAAAGCCACAACCTCCACGTCGATAGACTTGCAACAAAAGAGGTCCAACAAACTTCGTGCTGTTTTGAGAAAATTATTAAACTTATTTTTATAGTATATGAGTCTATATTTCACCATTTATTCTTTATTAATACATTTTTTAATAATATAATTATTTGACTAAAAATAATATTCATTAAAAGTAAAAAATAAAAATTCAAACACGTGTACTTTAAGAGGTTTTTGTCTTATTTTCTCTCTTATTTTTTTCCTTCCTGCCAAACATTAGTATAAGGGATTCCCATGCAATAATAAAAAAATGGTAAAAGCATCAAAAGTTATTTTTACACTTTTAAATTTTAGACTTATTTTCAAACTTTATTTTGCCTCTTGAATTTTTAATCAATCCCTATTTAAATCTCTTTGTTATAATTTTTATTAAAAAAACAAAAAAAAAAGATTAAGTGTGTGATGACTCTAACTAAGTAACTCTCACTTAAACTCACTGAATATGTAATCGCTTAAAATACTTGAATTATTTAAACTGAATTTGTGAAATATTTTTTTATATATCATATATAACAAAGGAAAATAAACTTCACTTTAATATTAATTAACATATATTAGTTTTTAAATTATCTAAGAAGTCTCAATCTTCTTAAAACCATACTATGTACATATAATTAAAAAGTCTTATCATAACAAAACATATTGTGAAATTAAAATGCGAGCAGTATCCATTTCTCATTCTCCACACTGCCCACTTACCGCTGTGAACAACCCATTATTCACCTTTAATCGGTTGTTTTCCTACAATATAAAATACATCATAGGGGTGAGTTTATACTCAGTAAGTAGAAGCTAAGTCTCGCTAATTAAAACATAATACTTAAAAGTATGTCAATAATGCAGGCACCAATTATACTCTTTTATGAACTTGTTTTATTAATCTTATGAGCCCGAGTGTTCGTACTGAAAAGTGTGCACACAATCAGCGGGTATAAAGGGTTTACAAGATCCCAAACTATACCGTGACCCTAAATGAAAATTTTACTTCCTCATGCACTGAATGATAGCATCCTCGGGCCTTAAATCCACCCCGTAAGTCGAATGGTTGACATGACACTCTTTAATATTCTCATTAGTCTTATTGATCTTATTAGTGAGCATGCAATATTTCATGGCATAATATACTATAACTTTAAGCATAAACATGTACATAAAATGTGTATAACATTTTGATTTAAACTTATTCATACGGTAGGTGAGATTCCCACTTACCTGCTATCAGCTGGTCGAGACTATATTACTCGCCGAGATGAACCTCTACTATTGTGTTCTATAAAGAAAACCGACTGATAGTGTGAGTTTAACTTAATATAAGCTAGTCTAGTTAGCTTAATCTATTTAAGAATTTATTATCATACTTAGGAAATATTTCATTTATTTAAAAAGGATTCATTTGATTTCTTACATATTATAAGGATTATTAAAAATAAATCCTTATTGTTTAATTTTCCTTAATTACCTTTCCTTAATTACCTTTCCTTATTCGGTCATAGATTGATAACTTAATCTTTTAATTAATTATTCATACCACGGTCCGTGTCTAAATTACCAATTCATATTATTTTTTAGTTTAGGCCTAAAATTGTATCAAGGCCCATTAGTCTACAATATGTTTACGATGCTCCTTTACACCAGCATGTCAGACTTTAGGCTCGAAAAGTTACCAGCCTAGTACAGGTATTGGGCCCGTATCTAGTGTTTTTTAAAATTCTCAATCCGATCCTATTAGAAAATTATTAGTAAATTGTATTTTACCCCTAGTCATATTTTTTATTACTATAAATTGGTGTCGGGAAACACTTAGTGATTATTTTTAAAAAATAACCATAAGTTTGTAAACATTTTAAAATTTCCTTTTTAACCTCGTTTATGAAACTATGTCTTAAACTTTCAATTCCTATAAAATTCGAATTCAAACGTTTAAGAAAACATTATTTGCTAGAAATCAGAACCGTTTCTAATCACGCTGGTTAACTCATCTGTTTTTCCTAAATCTGTAATTAACTATACCTTAGAGTTAAATATGTAATTAACTCATCTATTTTTTCTAAATCAGAACTGTTTCTAATTGTGCATGTTTTTCCTAAAAGTTTCGTATTTTGCAAAAAACGAGGCTCGGTCTCAGAACGGCCCGAAATTTTAAAATTATGAAGGCACAAATATTATTTTGCGTAGTTTTTGAAAACGGCCCAACAACGCGTTCTAAAGGCAAAATTCTAATTTTTTACAGTCACGAAAATTTATCGGTAACGTCGAAACCTTTAAGACTTATGTCTCAAAAATCCTAAAGTTGCCCTCTAAAGGGTCCAACAACAGTAAAAACAGAAACTAACTCAAATTGATAGTTTTAGATAATTCTTATAAAATTATGGACAGTTTTAGAAAAACTTATCAAAACACATTTTAGAGGTAACGTCGAAACCTTTAAGACTTATGTCTCAAAAATCCTAAAGTTGCCCTCTAAAGGGTCCAACAACAGTAAAAACAAAAACTAACTCAAATTGATAGTTTTAGTCTTTTAGATAATTCTTATAAAATTATGGATAGTTTTAGAAAAACTTATCAAAACACATTTTAGAGGTATAATTAAGAATTTTCTCAGTCACGTGGAATACAATGTTTGCTTTTACCTCATGGTTTTTGTTTTGTTTTGTTTTTTAGGATGTTTTGGTATTTTCATTAAAAAAGAGATCAGGGTGTAGAATCCGTTAAAAATTTAATGAGACGTTTGGTTCATGAATTAGAATCATGAGATTAAAATCATTTTTTATTTACGTATATTTTTTATGAAAAAAAATACTGTAGCGAACCATGAATCATGATTTAAATCGGGGTACGAATCCCCCAATCAAACAACCCCTACAATAGAGAGAGAGCAATAAATGGAAAGGGCTGAGTCCGTTTGGTATCTGATTCGAATTATAATTCGTGATTCGCTACAGTATTTTCTCTCATAAAAAATATACGTAAATAAAAAATAATTCTAATAACATAATTTGAATTCATGAACTAAACACGCTTTAGAGTTGGGGCTTGTTTTTACCAAAATAAAAAAAGAGGGACTAAAGTGTTTCTGTTGAATGTGATACACTGGTGCAGTACAGAGAAAGCCCGTAGATTGATAAAAAGCCAACTTCACTCGATCCTCCCTTTCGGCCCCAAAATCTGTGGAGAAGCTAGGGTTAGGGTTTTGAATTGATCGACAATGGAAGTGGAAGAAGGAGTCACAAAATCGTCGGTGAGGATTCACGTGGGGGGTTTGGGAGAAGCCGTGACGGGGGAGGAACTCCGACGGATGTTCGAGCTCGCCGGCGGCGGATCCGTCGACGACTTCCAATTCGTCCGTACGAAAGGCCGCAGCTTTGCATACGTTGACGTCTCGCCTTCCTCCGATAAAGCCCTCAGCAAGCTCTTTGCTAAGGTGGTGGTTGTTGTTTTTTTCTTTTTTTTTTTTATATCATTTTTTTTCCTCAGAAAAATTGCAGTTAGTAATCTGTATTGTTCTCTGTTTGTTTGTTTGATGATTATCGAATGTGGAATTTGAGTAAGATTGTTGTTATATACATCCTGTTTAGTCACTTGTTTGATTTCCCAATTGATTAAATACAGAAAAGAAATGTGAAGGGTTTAGGGTTTAACTCACTAAAGATTGGTAGCTTTACTAATTTATTATTATTTTTTTGTTTTCATTTTTAGGATACATATTTTTAGGCCAACAATGAATTAAAGAAGTTGGTTTTCTGCGAGTTATTAATGAAAATGATGTTGGTTGCAGTATAATGGGTGTGTGTGGAAAGGAGGGAGGCTTAGGCTTGAGAAGGCCAAAGAGCACTATCCCAACCGCTTGAGACGAGAATGGGTTGAAGATGCTGCTGCTGCTGCTGCTGCTACAGTGGCCGATGCTCCGGCTTCTGCAGAAGTGCCTCGGAGTCTTCCCACTGTGGAAAAGAGCAATCTCCGGATTTTTTTCCCCAGATTAAGAAAGGTAATCTATGTTTTTTTCTTTAAGCCAACAAAGGAAAAATAAAAAAGAAAAAGAAACTTAGAAAGGAATTGGTCTAGCAACTACTAAGCAGTAATAGCACGGAATTGGGCACACCACGGTTATCAAAAAAAAAAAAAAGAGCACGGAATTGGGCTACTGTTCCGTTCTTCTTATGTATGGATTTTGATGTGCAGGTGAAATTGTTACCTTTCAGTGGAACTGGCAAGCACAAGTACAGTTTCCAGCGCGTCGAAGTTCCTTCTCTTCCCAAGTATTTTTGTGACTGCGAAGAGCATTCTGGTCCTTTTTCTACTGAAAATGAGAAACGCATTCGTCACCAGGAAGCAGAGAGTGGTGGGATGAACCGGGAAGAGCTTAGTATAATGAACAAAGTAATGAATACCCTCTTTCAGAAGCAAAATGACGGTTCTAATAATGATGGGACTTTGCTGGCCGATAGTGGGGACAACTCTTTCAAATTGAGTAAGGACCTCCATGATGAAGATGAAGCAGATGAAGATGACAACCTCATTCTCAATGTTGTCGCAAAGGAAAGCGACATGCTGACTTTGTTAGGAAGACAACAAGGTGATCAAGTCAATGATCAGGTATGCCTTAACAGCATAACAGATTGTTGTGTTGCTTTGTTTCCTTGTTCCCTTGTAATTCTTAACTAATTTTGTGGCACGATATTCTTTCTTTGTCTTTTTCTAAGATCCAGGAAACAATATCCAAAAGGCGATCTTTTCAGGATGGTTTTACGGTGGAGAAAGGGAATGATAGTGAGCCTCCAAACAAGAAGAAGAAATTGCCTTCTCACGATAAAAGCAGTGGAAATTCACAGAAAAGAAATGATAATGAGCCTCCAAACAAAAAGGAGAAGTCGCTTCTTCGTTATAAGAGCCAAGGAAAGGAATTTGAGTCTTCTATCTCTGCAATTGCAAGGGAGGGGAATTTGCAATTACCTTCAAATAAGAAGGGCAAACGTACGGCAATTCAGCCTACTGAGGCAGAATTAGGTGAACGACAGTCAAGTGCGCATGTTTGCTATCAAAAATCTTCTTGGAGGAAACTTGTTGGTGATAGAGGGAGTAATTCATTCAGCATCTCAAGCATATTACCTAATGTTGCTTCTACTGAGAAAGACCTGCAGAGATCTGAAGCTCCAAATGTGCCAGATTCTAATAGCAAGAGGGAGAACACGGAAAGGAATGGCATTGCTTCTACTGATGGAGGCCAATGGAGATCTGAGGCTCCAAGTGAACCGGAATCCGATGGCAGTCATGAAAACGTGGAAGGAGATAGAGAATCTGAAGACATGTCGTGCAGAGAGAGAACAGAGGGTCTTGTAGAAGCTCAGCCTGCCAGCTCAAACGTGGTTTCGACCAACATAGGGAGAGGTGCTTCGTGGCGGCATAAATCTTCCTGGACCAAGTTGGTTAGTGGGAACACTTCATTTAGCATTTCACCAATTTTTGGTGGTGCCACTGTCAATCAACAAGTGCCGACAGAGCCCAAAGTTGCTGTTGTTCTGAACTCTGCCAATGACAAGCCTAATGAGATAGGAAATTCTGTTAGGGACGGTCTGAGTATTCCAGGGACGGCGGAGAAGGAGGATGTTTCAAGGATTTCTCAGGTAGAGAATCAACAAACTGTTTCGGGCAATGATGAGGCTTCCGTATCGATGTTAAAGGAAAATTGTGGTGTTGCGGCAAAGGAAATATCTGCTTCGAAAGTTGAGATAAGTGACACTTGCTCCTTTATGAGAAATGATGCGTCACTGAAAGAATGGGCAAAAACAAAGGCTGCTCTCAGTGGCTCACTTAAACGAAAAAAGAAAGACGTAACCAGCTGAGGTAGATTCTTCAAGCTCCTCGAACCTATTTCAAAGCTCTTTGTCATGCCATCTTTGCTATTAAAGGATCAACTGAAGAGACAAAGATGAGAAAGGACAGGAGGGGAAAGCGTAAAAGAATTAAAAGGGAAAGCCTGAAGGGACCCAAAAAAAAACCCCCTCATCAGCAAATCGCCACGATGAACTTGTCTGGGCATTTTGGCCTTATTTGGTTGACACTAGTAATTTACTTGGTTTTTTCTTATAGCTATATTGGCTTGCAACACCACAGAGAAACATTATTCGACTCGTCTATTTTTTGCTTTTTTTTTTTTGAAGTTTTTTTACCTAGAAAATTAAGCTGATAAATGAAAATATTATATTGATATGAAGATTTGTATGATGTTTGTTTTGCAAACATTTTTACTCTCTTTTCGATTAAAGAAAGAAATATATCGCTCATAGCTACGTCATTTAGAAATTACATTTTACACGTAATGTTTACATTAGGCTCTTTGGTACTTGAACATTTTACGATCCAACACACAATCCACACTAAAAATATGGGTCACAAGTTGTTGCTAATCAATAAAATTTATTGCAAATAAGCCCCATCTACTACGCTTTCATTTGAGATTTGAGAATTGCTTCTACTAAACTCCCTGACCTGTTACATTCGAGTTGGTCAGTTTTTCTGATTGAGGAAGGAATGTGATGGAAATCTCTAGATTATTAAAGGACAAATTACACACTCGGGTGATTATTCGAGAGAATCACCGTCTCTCCTCACAATTCTACACAATCCAAAAGTCCCGAACCTCTAGGAGCCCCTGCTTATTTATAGACTCTCCTAGATTGACAAACAGCTTCTCCTACAAGCTACAAGCCAACTCTTAAGTTACAAGTCCCTGTCCACGTCAGCCACTAACCACCCAGTAACCAATCCTTCATTGTTTCTTTCTTCTACTATAGTCAAGCAGCCCCGGGCTTAGCTCTCTGGTTCTTATCAGAATGTCAAACTTTATTCTTTAAGTTGAGAATTGCTTTTAATTCTCTTGCAACTACACAAAGACCAAAACTCGAGGGAATAAATTAGTACAAAGCAAAAGGTATCGTATGATTCGCCATCAGCTGAACTAGAAATAATTATAGTGGGAAGCTAGGGAAAGCATTATTGTACAAACAACTTGTTTATTTTTCTTTCTCCTCTTTGGGTACATAGAAACAAAATTAAAAAAAACTACAACAACGTTATGATGCTAGGAAGATTCGATCACAACAAAATACAATTCCAACGCTTGCACAACTGAACCCGAGCTCCAGATTCAGAAACATGAAAACCGTGTCTCTAGCTTCAACAAGTACCCTTTAGCACATGTTTGAACTAGAACACTTTAACCTCGTACAGAACACTCGAAAACAAACTCATCTCCCCAGGGCAAGGCCCAAAATGAGCAAACATTAAACTTGGGAAGATGGGGTGGTTAACAAAAACCTGCCAAAGAACTTAAGCATCCAATGGAAGAGAATATCCACGGAGATACGTGGAATCGACGCCTGACTCCCTCACCAATGCCACCCTCCCAGTTCTTGCAACCTTCAAAAAACAGAAACATATCTTAGACACATCAAATTAAACTGCCTAAGTAGAACTCAAGCAATTAGATCAGTTACGCTATTCGTATGTTCAATTGGATTTACTTTTATCTATTTATCTTTTTAATAAGAAACATCCTTCATAGATATTGATATCAGTACCAAGGAAAGAGGACAATGCGTCTTCAAGAAAACTAAAACTACAAAACAGTAAGGAAACAAACTTAAAAGACTAAAAAGTAAAGAACGATCAAGAAACCCCCCAAAGTCATAACATATAATCACCCCATTACTTCTTTCCAATTCATGTTTAGTTGGATTGTGTATTCGAAGCATATGCATGGTTATGCGCATTTGTATCATATATGGCTGCCTATGGGATCCCGTTGGCTCAAAGTTTATCAACCACGATACGCAGCAGACAGGCAAAAGCTAACTTATTGATGCCCCTCCACTTAAAGCAGGTATATTCTCCTATGCATGAGCAACTGTGGAGAACCCAACATACAAATTTTGTCAGACTTGGCTAGAAGAGTTTAAGGACCAAAAGACATACCTCACAAATCCCATAGGGCTCCAACAACTTCTGCAGTGCAACCATCTTGTTTAAGTCGCCAGTAAGCTGAAGAATTGCAAAGTAAAAAAAAAAAAAAAAAAAGGTTAGGCTTCAAACATAAAAAAGAAGATGACGATGATTGATTAAAGCTAGGCATCATCACAAGAAAAAATGATAAACGAATTTCGCTAGGAAACCGTCCCTAACAGTCATTTTATTCAGGTCATGTAACACATTAGACTTTCAGGTTCCAACTTACTCATTTGGGGATGCTTGTTTTTTTTTTTTTTTTTTTTTTTCCCATTTTGCTATCATAGGTTGTTTGTTTTGCTGAAGCAATTAGGACTATAATGGTAAAATATCAGATCTGTTCAAATGAAGATCAAAGCAAATACAAAATTTATTTAAAGTGAAGCATCATATAAACTGGCCCAGAGTGGTAGAGCATAATGATTCAGGCTCTGTAATCGCACACCACAAAAGAGGTGGGGAGGCAAATAGAACCATCTACCATAATTTTTCAGGACTAGAATTATGCATCTTTCAATTTCCTCAGAGGGAAGAAAGTGCTAATGTGGTCGTAAGTGCTTGCAAAGAAGAGCTTGTTCTCCTTCTATCCTATTAGCTTTATTTTTCTAGGGAATCCAGCAGTGTCAATGACCAATTAAAAATTAGACTAGGTCATACAACTTATTTCAATGAAAGATTCGCCAAAAGAATATAGAATCTGCAACAAGTATATGAAGAAATATGCTGATTGGGAGATAGGGAGGTTTTGACCTCAAGGGTGATTGTGTGGTCAGATACGTCAACTGCTTTGGCACGGAAAATGGTGGCAATATCAAGAACATCCCTCCTAGCGGCAGTGTTCACAGCAATCTTTATCAACATCAATTCTCGCTCAGCAAAAGGTAAGTGTGTGATATCCCGAACCTGAGGAAACAACAAAATCCATTTACATCAGTACTTTCTATTCATATCACAAGATCACTTGAAGATTATAAACTTGTAAACAAGTAGCTATTAATGTATTCAATGAAGCAAGGCTGTAGTTTTATGGGCTTTCCCTGCACAATGTCGCTCAATGATGTTGAAGAAACCATTTGGTTTTGGCTCTAATAAGATGTACAAAGTCACGTGGAAGAGTATAGTGGTTTCATAACCCTAGACTATTCGGTTGGAAAGAAATGACAGGTTTTTATAAAAGAGAAATGGATCTTTTTGAAAAAAGCTAATTACTTAGCTTCCCTATTATAAGGACTTTCCACGAGGCATGCCCTGAGGCGTACGCCTCGGGCGCTTTTAAAAACCATTGAAAAGATATAATGAGGTGATCAGATGTTACGAGTTAAGACGGTTTTTCATTTTGTCTTTTCAGTTATGTTTACTGTTTTTATTGTTTTCATTTTCTTGAGGACATCTTGTCCTTTCTTTCCTTTGAACAGATTTCAGTATCAATAAAGAATGTTTCTTATTCAAAAATAAAAACATATTCGCTCTTAAAAGGATTAAAAAATAGTAGATAACAAAATCCTTATTTTTTTTATTGGTGAAAAAAGTAACAACAAAATATATAAAGAAAAATTACGCAGAAAAAGGGTAGAAAATTCCTCAAAGAAACAACAAACCACAAAACAAAACAAAGAAAGACAAAAACGAAAACCGAAAATCAAACTACAGAAATAAAGACCAATCTCTGACTTAGATCTGAGAAAAGGCGATTGTTGAGTCCTTTTCAGGTGAATCCAAAAAGCAATATTAACTTCAATTTTATCCCAAATGACTTAACTTTCTTCCTCGCATCCTCAAAAAATTCTTCGGTTTTTCTCTCCAACTAAATGCCCCTCCAAATTTCTATAACTGCAAACTTTCCTAAACGACTCATCCTAACACTAGATCCGGGTTCATACAGTGATTCCCCGAGATCCTTGCAGCTTTTAGAAAATTCAGAACCTCACCTCATGAAGATCTATTAACCCGGGAAGCTGCTGAACTTGTGCAGCTTTTAGGAAATTCAGAACCTCCTGAACCAACTTTCCAATCGACTCATCAGTTCCAGGAATGACAGTTGTAATGCGAGAGAGCCCCTCTACTTCAGCATGCCCCACAGTGAGACTCTGTGAGTATGAATTGCGAGACAATGATCACATCAGCGAGGTCTTAAAAACCAAATTTACAAATAACCACAGAAAGCAAAGACCAAACTGACCTGAATGTTATACCCTCTTCGAGATATTACCCCAGTAACTATGTTGAGCACTCCAGGGTAGTCGTTGACAAGCATAGACAAAGTGTGCGATCGAAGCCCAGTTGACTGAAATAAATATTAGATAAATTATTCCAACTGCACAAATGTTTTTCCATAAAAAATGATAATGCACCTAAGCATGCATTATAATGAAGTGAACTTAAAGCTTTTATACTCTCTTATTTATTTTGAGAATTGTAAAGACATAATAGAAGAGAGATTTGCATCAAAGAGAAGAGATCCGAGATTTGAATGAGTATAATGTGCTTAGGGGTCTCCCCCACCTCTAAGTTATGTCAAAGTTACGATAATCACAACTATAGCAATTCCCCTACTTAACATGAATTGCCCTTTCGAAGAAACTGTGAAAAAAATTATTATGAAAAGGATCTAATGAGGTCCAAATAGAAAGCTTACATCTTCATCATAGAGAACACCCCAATGAGCATCAAGAACTTGATTCATGGAGAGGTCGTCATATGGCTCAATCGGATAAACATCACCCTTCAATAATGAAATGAAAAGTTAAGGATGTCCAATGCTATGTTACACTTATATTGACAAGGAGTGAAAGTTTTACCACTCACGAAAAGCTAGATAGTAGCAAAAGACAGTTGTAAGACAGAAAATAAAATGTATGAAACCTTACAAACATATCAGATAAAAAGTATGAAAAAAGTATAACCATAAACCTTATAAGCAGGAGAGTAAATGAAAATTTGATATTGCTATTAAAATAAAAAATATAACTACAATAATCTGGGTGTATTAGAACAATTTGGACTAGCACGTCCATTACCTAAGGACACATCAAAAAGTACTAGACTAGACCCTTAATATTAACATTAATATTATTATTATTGTTGTTGTTGTTATTATTATTATTATGAACTCGGGGACTTTAAGGTAGAGTCACTTGTGGATTTACTATTAGGCTATGCCTGCAACCATGAATCCATCCTTCTTAATAACTAATACATCAAACAATTTCTACATATAAGAAATTTGCTAAATCCAATCTGATTGAATCAGATTTTATAAACTGGCAGTTCTTCTGACTTCTGAAATTAGCAGCACATGCAGTCATCAATAACCAGAGGTAATCATATTCGTGTAGAAGAAAAGCACCAATTGCATGTGAATTATTCACAACGAAAACAAAAATAAACAAGCACAAAAAAACTAACGTTAGATGTCAAAATTCCTTTGTAAATATTAAGAGATTCGTACACTAGAGGATGTGCTGGCAGCATTAGGCGAGTGATTTGTATTCGTTACAAGACCATCAACAGGAACACTCCTTTCAAGATCTGGATAAGACGATGCGGAAAACCTCCAAAAGGGAGCTGTCTCACCCATCTTTTCCCGTCTTAAAGCAATCTATAAAGTGGAGCGAAAATTTAAACCATATTCAGCAATGACATTTGCATTATATTTCTTTTTCCACTCTATGTGCAAGATGCAGCATTAGTGCCTAAATCATCTTTGCAGTTACCTGTATATGAACAGCAATCCAGCATAAGGGCATGTTTACTAGTTTAACTTTTGAAATTCAGTTAAGTTTTTGTCTTATTACAAAATTTCAGAGATATCGTAGGAGTATTTTCTATCCCAACTCCTTGAAAGGATCTGAACTTCATCTTCTTTTCTATTCTGCTGAAAGTTATTGAATTCTGCAGCAGAATTTATATGTGTATGTGCTCTTACGCATACACACAAACACTACTGTAGCGTCAAAATTCCAGAAATTTTAACCTTTCCAGTTCTTGCAATTTCCTTGATGCCAAACTTCATCAAGTTTCTTAGGACAGCAACCATCTTCCCAGGATCTCCAGTGACCTGCGATATCACACAAAATGATTAACTAATGTGAATCTACCAGCCCAAAATTACAATTTTCTACATACTTCTAATCCTAAAAACCAAAAAATTAGTTAAGATGATTATGGCTTGCATTGTAATGCGATTACCTACACGTAAGTGATCTATGTACTATTTTTGTCTCCTGATTTTACAATTTTTATCGGCAATGCAATGGATTAGATAAAAGAATTGTGTTGCCAACCGCAAGAACTAGTGAACTTTCTACTAATATAAAGAACTATACCACACTTATTCACAGAGCAAAAGGGGGAACAAAAAACGGAGAAAGAAGATATCCTTTTTCAAATTCTATAACATGGTATGTTTCCATTGAACTGACACTAGATATTAGGGAATCTAGGCACTTAAACAAACTGTATTTTGTTATAAGAAAAGAACTTTATATTGATAACGATCCAATGTAAAGGTGAGAGGACAAAGAGTCCTCAAGGAAACAAAAAGAAAAAAACAAAGAGTGAAAATAAAAAAACACAAACGCAAATACAGAAGGCAAAAACTAAAGAAAAAAGAATCTTTTAACAACCGATTACATCCCTCTAGTTAAGAACTGTATTATGAGTACAATAGTTGTGCTTAAATCCCCAAGACCAAATGCACTTCTAAGTTCAGAGTCATTTTCACAGGGTGAGGACATGTGAAAGATGAAACCAGTAAAAAAGTACAAGGGTCGGACAAAAGTCACCTCAATCGTAAGTGTACTTTCAGAAATATCCACAATCCTTCCCCTGAAGATATCCACCAACCACATAATCTGAAAATTAAAGCACAAATACAACGTCACAAAATGTCCACACTAAAGACAAGAAGCAAGCAGCTAATGGACTTTTCTTTTATCTAATTTTGTTGGAAAATAGGAATTTGGTTGTGATACAGCCAAATATTAGGAGATTTGATTAGCTGAAAATATATTTGATTAGCATTAAATTAGTGTGATTTGGTCAATGATGTAAAATAGGAAGTTAGTTATTAGCCAGATATTGTAAAGAGATTTTTTTTCTTATTTTAGGCTGAGTTTCTTCTATAAGAGAACACCCGTGTAATGCATTGTATGTAAGAGGCAATAAACAAAAACTCAATATTCAGAATCTATTCTTAACAAGCTTATAAATTTGTTTATTGTTTAACGAGTGATGACAATACCATTTTCTATCACTTGCCTGCACCATAGATTCCATCAAAATAACTGGCGTACAATTACAGTAAATACCTACTTTTTAAGTTGATTTTTTACAATGTGATTGCTTAACGTTAAATATTGTTATCTGTGCTCAAAAAATATGTTACAGGAAAACAAATGAAAACATAAAAGAAAGGTTAATATTTGGGCGAAACAAATGAAGGTGCCTGGAACAATCTTATCCTGCATAGCCGGGATCGTAGTTTTTATAATGTACCATTTTGTCGATCGTTGATCAAAAGGATAAAATGAAATAGGGAATCATAAGATCTGTTCTCTTTAGAGTCAAATTAGCTCACAAAAATAGTTGTCCTATCGTACATTTAGCTGGAAGACAAATCATTTACCTCTGCACGGGTATTTGGGTCTGCATTAAGTTTGATAAGCATCAATTCACGCTCTACTTGCGGCTCCCTTGAGATATCTTCCACCTGAGAGCCATTACATAAGTGAAGATACAATAGGAGCTACTAAACCACATGTCCGTAGACATGCAATTTGAGATCAACATGAAAGAACAAGACCAAAATTTTGTTGTAAAGTAGCTCGAAAACACAATATTTTAAAGTTCACAATGCATTAATATGATGACAGTGTGTCAAATTATAATGCCAAATCTTCAGCGCATTAACACAACCAGAAGCAAGGACCAAAACTAAAGAAATACCTAAATGCAAACGAGTCAAATCAGCAACAAGAATGAAACAACAATGGACAATAAAAGAAAGGGCAAAAAAGAAATTCACCTTTATGACATTCACAAGCTTGTTCAGCTGTTCTACAACTTGGCGCAAAACCTTTTCAGTTCCGGACACGACTATAGTAAAGAGAGCCTTGTCCTTGTTCAACCCAACTGCAAGGGACTCAATGTTGTAACCCCTCCTAGCAAAAACCCCCGCAATTCGGTTTATTATACCGCTCTCGTCTCCCACAAACACCGAAATTGTATGCCGCTGCACTCTGAAACAAAGAAACAAATAAGAAAAGATATTATTACCTATTAAGTAAAGAAAAATTAGCACTTGGGAGCAATCCCCCACCAATCCTTATTCTCGGTTGTTAAACTACAATATGATATTATCAACTATTAAGTAAAGAAACAAACTGAGATGTTGGCATATTGCTGAATGGGGTCCACAGCAGTACACTTGTACAAAGTAAATTGTCATTCTTCTGGGCTAATTGGTTTGAGAGAAATTGCAGGAGTTTTGAAGGGAAAGAGATGGAAACTAAGGAACTTTTTGGGAAATATATAATGGGGGTGATTGTATGCCATGAGTTAAAGAGGGTCTTTGATTTTTAATTTTTTTGTTCAAGTCTTATTGTTGCTACTGTTTTTGTTTATGGAGGACACTTTGTCCTCTTTCCTTTGTTCTGTTTTCAGTATTAGTAAAGGATGTTTGTCGTCAAATAAAAAAAAAATGAAATTTTCATTTTAAAATTTCTATATTTAGCCCGATACAGTTCCCTTTTAGACTCCATGAAATTCATCATCATCCAAAAAAAAAAAAAAAGACAAAAAAGAATGGTGATAGGCAAGAACGAAGTTAAACAAGGAATAAGAACTAGGCAAAAGAATATAATAAAGTAATAAAAGTAACAATGTGAATGTCAAAGTCAACAGTACCATGCACACATATACCGAATCAAACAGCAGAGCAATGGAACAAACTTATAACAAATCCCATTTGAAATAAATAATCATCATTAAGTCTCCAACCGTGTAAATGCAGAAAAATGAAAAATAAAATAAAAATAAAAAACGAGGAGTTGAATTGAAACTTGAAAGATGAGCTGAAAATTCAACATGGAGTAAATAGATTATAGGTATACATCAAACACTTATCACAAATAAGCACAAATAAACGTGTAAATATGGTAATACATAAAATATAACCCCAAAATAAATCTTTTCGGAAATTTGGAAAGAAAATCAAACCGCATTAAAAAAAAAAAAATCACTTCAAGTCTTCAACTGGGTAAATACTGAATAAATCCACAAAGCATTAATTAATCCATGAGGACCAAAAAAAAAAAAAGAGAAAAAAAAACTCCGTAAATGTAAAACTTGTGTAATTACTGACTTAGAGAGAGTGGCAGGAGAAGAAACAGAGCTGTTATTGATGACGGACACTGCCGCATTTTCAATGGCGGAGACCGCCATGTTCCTCTTCTTCTTCATATTGTTGAGCTCGAAAATGGAAGTTTCGAGAACTTTCGACACCCTCCTGCATGTGAGGGGAGTCCTGAGAACGCCAAGATGGAAGCTTCTGGAGAAACCAATACCGAAATCTAATGTGGAAGAAGAGGGGGATGTGCGGATCGCCATTGGAGTTGAGCATGGTGGAGACACGGCCGCCATGGCTGACAGGCTTAGGCTACCTGCAAAAGTGAACGAGGAAGAAATGCTGGGTTTTCCCCCTTATTTGTCCTTTTTATTTTCTTTTCTTTTTTAATGAGAGAGAGAGAGAGAGGAGGGAGTAAAAAAAAAAAAAAAAAAAAAAATCTATTCTATCACCTGTTAAATGAGTTCGTTATTTTTTATTTTTAAAGGATCCAAAAAAATCTATTTTATCACCTGTTAAATGAGTTCGTGTATTTATTTATTTTTATTTTTAAAGGATTCTGTTAAATGAGGTTGACATATTACAATGGGGGAACAAGGGAAATACTGTAACGATCCGAAGCCGTTGTTTAACTTGTTTAAATTATTTTCTTAATCATATTTCTAGTTCTCAAAATTTTAAAGAAATTCGTTTTCTTCCTTTTAACTTGATCTTAATTTAGTACTTAACTTTAGGAATTGTACGGGCCTTTTTTTTTTCACAACTTGGGTTGAGAATAATTTTATGTAGAAGAAAATATTATGTGTCCGTTTATTTTGTATACTCAAATTTGAGTAATTTTTAAAAATATTTTTAAAAATTGAGTTCTTTTTTATTTCTATCTTTTAATATTAGTATGTATTTCTACAGGAGTAGAGTTTTTTAAAATTGGCATTTTAGTAAGTTAAGTACTTAAAGATGTAAAATACGTAGTTTTCTTTAAATTGTCAAATAATTAATTCTGTTACAGTATTTTTTTCTCATAAAAAATTTAAATTTTAAAATCAAATCAATAACCATTTTTTGAATGTACTTTCTAAATGGAACCTATAATAAAAAAAATTAAATTTAAATTTTTATAAGATAAAATACTCTAATAAAAGTAAAAAAATATTGAATTTGAATTTGAATTTTTTCATACTTTATTCTACACAAACTGTCTGCGATAATATAAGTTAAAACACTTATTAATCAGGGATTATTCCCTTCGCTTATAGTGAGGCTGCAATTATGCCTCTTAGTCGAGCCTTCCGAATATAGCTGGGTGCTGTAACTTGAGGGGTCCATGGTTGTTAGCATACAAAATGTGACTCAGGTTTCCTTCATTATCCCACTTATTGTCTTAATAGATTCTTCTTAGGTTTCCCTTCATCATTTCACTTGCTTTTCATTTTTCAATCTATATTCTAAGCTTATTTCGTGTTTTCTATAATATATAATGCAATGTTAAATTTAATTTTATATGTTGATAATGTAGAATAATTGTCTCAACTTTTAGTACGAAAGAAGAGAGTGATTTATAAAATCTAATTACTAATTAGTTATCTTAATTTAAATAATTAATTAAGCGTGATTAAAAAAATTTAATTACTAATTAGTTATCTTAATATTAAGATTGTTAGCATAATATACAATTTATTTTTTTTAAGTTCAACACACAAAAATCTACTAAATGGGTAGATAAGTAAATTTATAATAGTTTATTTTGATTTTGGGCATAAGTAAACGCATGAATGAGATCATGACTGATTTCGACTCTGATTCCTGGAACTTAAGTAAACAGCTTATTCTGACTCTGATTCATGTCCACTTTAAATCCTGTCTACTCCGATTTATGTTCACTCCAATTACGAATAAGTAAACATGTCATTATTATCTTAATAGATTCCTCTTAAGACGTTGAGTGAGTATTATTTATATATATTATTTAGAAGGAAAAAAAAAACTTTTAGCATCCATCATACTAAATCATATTTGTTTTAAACAAAAAAAGTTATTTATCATGTACTTAATTTTAAAAGGGCATCGCAATATTTATTTCCTTACCTCTACACCATGTGTCATGATAATGGATCCATCAGTTAAGCTCGGGGTGGTGAATTTCTTATTTGTATTATCTATCAACATAAACAAACATGGCCAACAAACACAAGCTTTTATAGCATGTTTATTTCATATACTTAAACTCAAATTATTAATTATACTATAATATTTTTCTCTCATAAAAAATTTAAATTTTAAACGTAAAAATTAAAAATTACGGTTTGAATATACATTCCAAAGTGCTCCTAGTTCTCACAAAACAATAATGCATGACATATCATCATATAACCAATTATGTAACTTCTTTTGGGCTCTGCTCCGTGGCTACCCAGATCTGCTAGCGTTGACCAGGCCCGTCGCAGCTCCTCCCTGCGCAACCTAGGCCCGTTGCAACTCCATCCCGGCGACCCAGGCCCGGCGAAAGAGGATGGAGAATGGTGGGAAGAGACTAGAGAGAGAGAGAAAGGTGGGAAGAGACTAGAGAGAGAGAGAGAGAGAGAGAGAGAGAGAGAGAGAGAGAGTGTTTGCTTTTCTTTTCTTTTTTTTTCAAATAATCAGATCTGATTCTGTATGAAATTTTTCCTAAATTTTATTTAAATTCAATCCGAGCATGCACCAAATGCGGGATAGGATTTAAAACAATCCCATCCAACCCAACCAGTCCAACCATCATAATCTTATCCAATTTAACATGCCAAATAGGCCTCTTAGTATTGGTATGTAATTGGACCTTAGCACCGTCGAAATTGTCCAGTTCAGTCCTTGCAGGCTTGGGCCGAGAAGTGTCACTCTAAGGCCTATATCAATGGAGGGTTTTGTTTCGTCATCAGTACAAAAACTTCCGTTATTGCGCTAGCCCTTCTACTTCTAACGGTCCAGATGACATTATCTAACTGATTTGAATTTTTAATTTAAGTTGATATGTGAATTTATATGAGAATTTTTTACTATAATAAAAAATTTAGATGTGATTATTTTTAGAGTTTTTTATTATAGCAAAACTCGAATTCTAAATTCGAATCGATAAAATGAACAAGCACTAGAGTCTAGAATTGCATATGGAGTTTCTTGAACAGTCCGAAATCTACATCCGAAAATGATTATAGCATAGACAAAGGCTACGGCCCTTTAAAAATACTAATTTAATTGATGCTGTGCATTTAATATGTAAAAGTTGAGGCGTGAATATGATATAGTATTTATTATATATAACATGATTTTTTTAAAGAATCTGTAGCACCAAGAAATTCATTCATACCATAACATTATTTATACTTTTCATAAAACGTTACTACATAGAATAACTACATAATTGGTTATGTGATGGACGTAAGCAAGAGCACCCGGACCGGGCGAAACTAAAAATGGGAATGGGATGCTGCTTTGCAAAATTATTTCCACCAGTATATGCTTTTGTTATTTATAACATCAGTACTGTGTTTATTTTGATACTGTATCAAGTTACTAATATTTTGTCATACTTCAAAAAAAAAAAAAAAAAAAGAAAAGAAAAGATAAGATCGCGCGTCATACGCTCTTAATCTATATAAATGATAAGATTGTATGCCATTCTAGTTTTATTTATTATCTAGAAAAATTTTAAAGAAAATTCTAAGTTGACAATATGTATTGCTAACTGCATAATACATCATATAGCATTTCTGTTAGCATCATTATATAGGCATTGGCCGGAGGCACCGGAGGACAATCCTCCTTACGGACAAAATATAAATTTTCTCAGATCAAGAGTATATTCATGTTGTTTTTCTATTTGATAAAGTTTTCACCATTCAAAATTTAAGAAGCGAGAAGTGCGAAAATAAGATTTGACATTTTTGCTTAAAATTAGGAATTTAACTCAATCAACATTTTGCATAAATGTCATTATTGAATTTAAGGCATATAAATATGATGCATGAATGCACATATTAAATACACAAATACTTGTTTAATTGCCTAAGGAATTTTGATCACCACAATTAAGAGTCGCCGTAGGGTAGGTCAAATAATTGCTAATTAAAATGAGACTATCTCAATTAATAAATACTATATGAAATATCTCATACTTCTAATATTTGTTAATTTCTTTTTATTTAGGTCAAGAAAATAATTAACCAATTTAATTATCTCTTCATAAGTGTAACCCATTGTTTTAGATCTTTTAGACTTAACTTAGAAGTTGCGTCTTAAAGTAGGTCAATTTTAAAATACATATTTAAGATCCTATCTCTTTGGAAGACAATCTTATTATTATAATTAATGAACACCCTCCGTAGGGAGGACGAAATCAAAGCATCTCGGGGTACCACTAATTACTCACGATGTTGTACTAACGGTGGAGACTTAACGGTTATATTGTCATATTACCCGCAACTACTAATTATTTACAAATGGTGTAGTTATTTTATAAAACAACTCTTGCTTTATAATTCATAGTGAATTTAAACAATTTAAGTCATTAAGTCCCATATAATTTTAAACAACTTTAAAATTATATTAAGTCATTTGTGACAATTTTAAAATTTAACATTTAAATTTATAAATTTTACATTTGACTTATTTAAATTTTGTAAAACTATTTGCTAATTAATTAATTTAAATTTAATCTCATTAAATTTAACAACCTTAAATTTAATCTTATTAAATTTGATAACTTTGAATTTAATCTCATTAAACTCAATAAACTAGGTAGGCACTTTCTAATAAATAAATAAATAAATAAAGACATGGAAGCGAAATGGAAAAACTTGGCCGAATTTCATAGACCTAAAAATTACAACCCCAATAATAATAATAATAATAATAATAAAATTACATTTTCATGGTCTTCTTGTAATTCTCCATCTTCAAGCCTTCTCTACTTCATGATTTATTTTTGGTGGATAAAAAAAATAATTTCAAAAACTAATCTAAAAAATAAAAAAAATAGGTGGTTGGGTTGCCTTTGTGCAGCCCTTATGGTATCTAGGCCGGCTGGAAAAACCAGCCCAGACGTCATTACCCTCAACCTCATATGAGGCAGAGGAGGCCCATTTGGACCTGGGCCTGTAACTGCACCAGTCACTTACAACAATCTCATGGCTGCTGCAGTTTTGCCATGCCGACGTTCGGCCATGGCAGCCGACCACGTGTCACCGGCGATTGTCATCGGTGACGTACAGTTGCCGATCAACACCTTTTTAAAAAAAAAAAAATTGGAACTTTTCCAAAAAATTGTTGTTGGAACTCTTCTACAAATTCACGAAGATTCGTTTTATTTTTTTCTTTTGCTGTTTGAGTGTATTTTGAACTTTTTTTTGGTTAAAATCAAATGTTGACTAAGAAAATCTATGGATTGTATAAGTTCTGAATAAAAGTAAAAATGAATAGTATAAAAAGACAAATAATCATATTCCGTTAATTCTTATTTGATTTGAGAATAACCGTCAATTGTTTCTTTAAAGTATATGTAACTTTTCTCTCTCAAAAATTCCATATTATTGGATGAAGTAAAAACCACAAGTCAACGTGTGAGCAACAACCAGAAATTTTCGTTCATTAATAAAAGTGATTCCAATAGGCCGATTGTTCATGATTTCAATCAGCAGCTTAAAGTGATGAATTTTTTTCCAAAAAATATTATTCAAGTGATTTTTTTTTTTTACTAAAAGTGATTAATTTTTGTTGATCGCTTAAAGTGATTCCAATATCTTCAAAAGTTCTACTACTACTGTTGCAAATAAAAATAAGAAAAACCAAGAAGGAATAAATTGACACCAGATTATATTTGAGGACAAAAAAACAAAAGAGATATGAATAAGATGAATAAAGAATAGACGATTCAGAAGGGAAAAAAAATGGCAAAAAATTAACTGGAGAATTGAAATGTGCATCAATCCACAGTGATATACAATTTTGGATTTCTTCTGCAATTTGAGAGGTTCTACTTGGTGTGCTGATTTGCTGTTTAGTCTAAGACCCAGGACCTTTAGAACCACCAGACAAGACCAATTTATCCATGCCATTTACAACTTCAATATTAACCATTATATTCACTGCAACTTCTATGCCTATATTTATTTATCTAAGAGATTCACATACGTACAAAAAAAATCCACAACTACTAAGAATTTCGCAATTCGATCAAATCAGCACCATGCAACCAACACTCTCCCAACTTCATGGTCCAGCAGTTAGTGTAAAACACTTCTTCAAAACCATGAACAATGGGAAAAGTACAGGGCTAAGATATCTTCATTGCCGCAAGAATCAAACCACAAAACAAAGCCAGTAGAAAACAACAAAAAGGTCAAACTTGCCGTAAAGAAAACGAAAACCGAGCTTACTTGAGCCTAAAATGCTCCAATGGTTTATCATTTGCAACAGTGGATAAATAAAAGATTCCTTTATTGATAAAAATCAACAATGCTTTACAATATCTACTGAGGTCATTCAATTTAATTTGAAGAATAAGAATTAATGATGGTATAGCAAAGGAGAAAAACCTGATGCAAAACTTAAAAAAAACCTTTGAGCAGATCCTTGCAATTTGACAAGCTAATCAACGCAACATGCTGCTTTTACCACACTTCAGCCAGGAATAACTCAAATGTTTAAGTTTTTGAGCATAAGACAAGAGCAACATCTTCATGAGCAACATCTTCATGCAAATCATGTAAACAAAAATAAACTGAAAAAAGGAGTTCAATATATTGATCTTCCCATAGTAAAATAACATAACTTATACACCCTTTTGCGCCACTAACTGCAAGGAAGGATCCAATTTACCTTTAGCGACCAAATCGACAAACAACTCACAAGTTGAAACGTCTCCAAAGAAACCCTTTGCCACCATTTCATCCTTAAACTGCAATGCTCTTGATATCTCATCGTTATGAACAAGACCCCGGATCATTAGATTGTAAGTGCAATTGTCAGGAGGGCAACCTTTCTCTTCCATTTCCTTATGCAAATTAAGAGCTTCAGCAACGAGACCTCCTCTAAGAAGTCCATCGATCATTATGTTGTAAGTCGTCGCATTATATTGTAAGCCTTTAGATGGTAATTTGAAAAAGAGATCCGTTGCAGATGCAAGATTTCTAGCTCTGAGCATGCCTCCAATAAGAGTAGTGTAAATCACGATATTGAGAGATAATTTCATCTCTTCCATATCTTTAACCAAAATTATTGCTTCCTCAAGCTCTCCATTTTTACACAAGCCATTGACTAAAATAGCATATGTTTGGATATTTGGTGGCTGCCCAACAGCGCGCATCTCGTGAAGCAGATTGCGAGCAGGCCGAGTTCTCCCAAATTTACACAGGCCATCGATAAGAGAGTTATAAGTAACAACATCCGCAACTAACCCCTTAGATGTCATTTCTTCAAACAGCCTCAGAGCCTCATCTATCATCCTCTTCTTACAATATCCGTTTATCAAAATGCTATAACTATATACGTCACTTTCACAACCATTTTCAATCATCACATCAAGCACTTTTCTTGCGTCATCAATTTCACCTCGCAAACAATAGCCGTCCATGAGTGAATTATACGTCACAACATTTGGCTTAATGCCTCTTTCAATCATACTTTCTATCACACCTTGCGCCTCGGAAACCCTCCCTTTTTTGCAAAAAGCATCAACCAAGATGCTATAAGTTCGTAGGTTAGGAGAGAGATTACGGTCGACTATTCCATTAAATAACCTCATAGCTTCTTCCAATTTCCCTATCACGCACACCCCATGAATCAAGGTGTTGTACGTAACAACGTTTGGAACAACGCCTTTTTTAATCATTATGGAAAAGACGTCCAAAGCACGAGCAAGTAGCCTTTCCTTGCAAAGGCCGTCAATTACAGTGTTGTAAGAAACAACGTTAGGCTTGCAATTCTCTTCTCTTTCCATCTTTTTAAGCAAGAGAATAGCTGCAACACTGTTTCCCATCTTACAATTCCCATCGAGCAATATGGAAAAAGTAATCACATTGGGCTTACAGCCACCCTTCTTCAGTTTGTTAAAGCACTCTTCTGCTTCAGCAACCTTACCCTCGAGGAAAAACCCCTTGATCAGAGTACTCATGGTTACCGTGTTTGGTTTATAACCGGATTTAATTAAATTTCCAAGAACACACAAACTGGAGGGCATTTGGTTCAAATGACAGAAGCAATTCATCACAAAATTCAAAGTGTAATGATCAGGCTTGATTCCTTGCATACCCATTTGCTTAAACATAGAAATAACAAGAGAATAATGTTTGGTTCTGACGAGTTTACCCAACAATTGATTGAAGGTCACAACAGAAGGAAGAGGACGTGTTCGGAGCATCCTCTGAAAGGAATCCAAAGCAGCTTCAACATTCAAATCCTCGAAATGGGTATTGTTTATTTTGGTTCTGTGGCCGTCTTTTGGAGAGGATTTGGAATGAATGTGAGCTACAAAATTATTCTTAAACAGAGCAAAAGAAGAAGCAGAACAAGTAAAAGACGTACGTCCAAATCGAAGGCCATTTAAAAAAGCAAAGAAGTTGGGTTTAGATCGACTTGCCTGAATCTTCAACATCCTTTCGACAAATTTCAGAGACGAATAGTAAATGGTTCCGAAGATAGATTTTGATATTCTCAGATCTGGGGGCAAGGAGGAAGCAAATAAGGTTTAGATCTGAGAAAAGGGGTTTTGGTGGTCAGTCCAAGCATGAGATGTAAGAGAGTGAGAAACGGCAAAGTTCATCGTATAAACGACAACACATTTTTTTCTGTTAAATAGATTTTTGACGTAAGATCACGGATTCATACATATGTTTTTTTTTTTTTTTTTTTTTTTTTTAAGGGGTCTCTTTCAGTTTTATAGAAGAGTTTGAATATAGCGAAACTTTTAAATATTGTGAGAGTAGTAGAATTTTGATATTAATAAAATCATGATTATAATAATTAGTATATAACATAAATCACAATTTAAGTTTTTTTATATAGTTATTTGTCTAATAAAAATTTAAATTCAACTTTTTTATTACAATATTTTTTCTCATATAAAAAAATTTGATTTGAGATTTAAATTGTGAAAAGAACACTCCAAATAAGAAATTTTTCTCACTACGTGCACCAAGGTATGTGGGAAACTTGCACCAAGGTATGTGGGATCATTCCCGATCGTGCAACGAATCGGAGTGGTGGCTTATCGGTTGGCTTTACCGCCTAAACTATCTCACGTGCATGACGTGTTTCATGTCTCCATGCTTCAGATATGTCAACCTGAGCCGGAAGCATTAGTGCAGTGGTTTGACGTTCCAATACAGTATGACGCGTCATACGAGGAGGCACCCGTTCAGATTCTTGATCAGAAAATAAAGCCTGTTTGTTTTTGTTTTCATTTTCATTTTTCACATTTTTCGAAGCTAAAAAATGAAAATTGGATCTAAAAACATGTTTGGCACAAAACTTTTCAAAAAATAAAAACAAAAACGTTTTTGTCTTTTTGTGAAAAACTGAAAATGAAAAAAAACCGTTTTCTCGTTTTCGTTTTCTTCTTCTAAAAACGGTTTTCATTTTTTTTTTCTTCTCTCTCTTCTCCACTGCCCATCACCCCCGACAGCAGCCCCCTCCCCCACTCCGACATCAACACCGACTGAAGGAGATGAAAGACGCCGGAGATGAAGGACGCAGAGAGAGACGTCGCCGGAGATTCCCTCGCTCGGTGGCTATCGTCAGTCATCGGACGCCGCCGCCGTCACAATATATTAACGAGAAAATTCCATTGATAACCATTGGACGTGTTTGTTTTCGTTTTTGAAAACTTTTTCACGTTTTCTGAGGAGCAAAAAATGAAAACGCTTCACAGATTGTGTTTGGTGACCCATTTTCTCAAAATCAAAACTGAAAACACAGTTTTCATTTTCTCCTCTGCAGTTTTCATGTAAAAATTCATGTTTATTTAATTAATTAATTTAATATATTATTATTTAGTATATTTAATAATATTATTTATTTAATATATTATTATTTAATATATTTAATAATATTATTTATTTAATATATTATTACATGTTTTCAAAAATTAAACCACCAAACGCAGTTTCAGTTTTTTTTTTAAAACTGAAATCAATCTCTGAATAAAACTACCAAACACATTTCAAAAATAATTCCAAAATGAAAATGAAAACGTTTTCATTTCTATTTTCATACAGAAAACAAAATAATTTTAGAACCAATTCCAAACGCACCCAAAGAGTCTGCGTCATCGTGAGATCCCGTTAGTGAAAGTATTGTGGCAGCACCATGGAGTTGAAATGTGCATCAATCCACAGTGATATACAATTTTGGATTTCTTCTGCAATTTGAGAGGTTCTACTTGGTGTGCTGATTTGCTGTTTAGTCTAAGACCCAGGACCTTTAGAACCACAAGACAAGACCATTTGTCCATGCCATTTACAACTTCAATATTAACCATTATATTAACTGCAACTTCTATGCCTATATTTATTTATCTAACAGGTTCACATACGTACCATGCAAAAAAATCCATAACTAATAAGAATTTCGCAATTCGATCAAATCACCAGTTGAGTGTAAAACACTTCTTCAAAACCATGAACAATGGGAAAAGTACAGGGCTAAGATATCTTCATCGCCGCAAGAATCAAACCACAAAACAAAGCCAGTAGAAAACAACAAAAAGATCAAACTTGCCGTAAAGAAAACGAAAACCCGAGCTTACTTGAGCCTAAAATGCTCCAATGGTTTATCATTTGAAACAGTGGATAGAATGAGAGATCACCCACTGAAAACAAGTCTTTAATAACAAAGTTGACCATGAATAACAAGTAGAATGCTACAAGAATACTTTCTAAGGAAACATAATGAGAAGTCGCCACAAGTAATAGAAAAAATATTTTCAAATAACATTGGAGTCTCTATCTTCAAATACCTTAATAGTGAAATTGGCATGCATGGAAAGAACAATGCAGTACTTTACAACATCTACTGGGGTCATTCGTTTTAATTCAAAGAACTAATTTTTATTTGCCTATTTATTTATTGATAGATAACAGATTCCTTTATTGATAAAAATTAACAATGCTTTACAATATCTACTGAGGTCATTCTATTTAATTTGAAGAATAAGAATTAATGATGGTATAGCAAAGGAGAAAAACCTGATGCAAAACTTAAAAAAACCTTTGAGCAAATCTTTACAATTTGGCAAGTTAATCAACGCAACATGCTGCTTTTACCACACTTCAGCTAGGAACAACTCCAATGTTAGTTTTTGAGCATAAGACAAGAACAACATCTTCATGCAAATCATGTAAACAAAAATAAATTGAAAAAAGGAGTTCAATATATTGATCTTCCCATAGTAAAATAACATAACTTATACACTCTTTTGTGCCACTAACTGCAAGGAAGGATCTAATTTACCTTTAGCGACCAAATCGACAAACAACTCATAAGTTGAAGCGTCTCCAGAGAAACCCTTTGCCACCATTTCATCCTTAAACTGCAATGCTCTTGATATCTCATCATTGCGAACAAGGCCCCGGATCATTAAATTGTAAGTGCAATTGTCAGGAGGGCATCCTTTCTCTTCCATTTCCTTGTGCAAACTAAGACCTTCAGCTACGAGACCTCCTCTAAGAAGTCCATCGATCATTATGGTGTAAGTCCTCACATCATATTGTAAGCCTTTAGATGGTAATTTGAAAAAGAGATCCGTTGCAGATGCAAGATTTCCAGCTTTGAGCATGCCTCCATATCTTGAACCAAAATTATTGCCTCTTCAAGCTCTCCATTTTTACACAAGCCATTGAGTAAAATAGCATATGTTTGGATATCTAGTGGCTGCCCAACAGCGTGCATCTCGTGAAGCAGATCGCGAGCATGGCAAGTTCTCCCTAATTTACACAGACCATCAATAAGAGAGCTATAAGTAACAACATTCGCAACTAATCCCTTAGATGTCATTTCTTCAAACAACCTAAGAGCCTCATCTATCATCCTCCTCTTACAATATCCGCTTATCAAAATGCTATAACTATATGCATCACTTTCACAACCATTTTCAATCATCGCATCAAGCACTTTTCTTGCGTCATCAATTTTACCTCGCAAACAATAGCCGTCCATGAGTGAAGTATACGTCACAACATTTGGCTTGATGCCTCTTTCAATCATACTTTCTATCACGTCTTGCGCCTCCGCGACCCTTCCTTCTTTGCAAAAAGCATCGATCAAGATGTTATAAATTCGTACGTCAGGGTAGATATTACGGTCGACCATTCCATTAAATAACATCATAGCTTCTTCCAATTTCCCTATCACGCACACCCCATGAATCAAGGTGCTGTACGTAACAACATTTGGAACAACGCCTTTTTTAATCATTATGGAGAAGAGGTCCAAAGCATGAGCAAGTAGCCCTTCCTTGCAAAGGCCGTCAATAACTGTGCTGTAAGAAACAACGTTCGGCTTGCAGTTCTCTTCTCTTTCCATCTTTTTAAGCAAGAGAATAGCCGCAACACTGTTTCCCATCTTACAATTCCCATCGAGCAATATGGAATAAGTAATCACATCAGGTTTACAACCTCCCTTCTTCAGTTTGTTAAAGCACTCTTCTGCTTCAGCAACCTTACCCTCGAGGAAAAACCCCTTGATCAGAGTACTCATGGTCACAGTGTCGGGTTTATGACCGGATTTAATAAAATTCCCAAGAACACACAAACTGGAGGGCATTTGGTTCAAATGACAGAAGCAATTCATCAGAGTGCTTAGAGTGTAATCATCAGGCTTGATTCCTTGCATAACCATTTGCTTAAACATATAAATAACAAGAGAATAATGTTTGGTTCTGACGAGTTTACCCAACAATTGAGTGAAGGCCACAATAGAAGGAAGAGGACGTGTTCGGAGCATCCTCGGAAAGGAATCCAAAGCAGCTTCAACATTAAAATTCTCGAAATGGGTATTGTGTATTTTGGTTCTGTTGCCGCCTTTTGGAGAGGATTTGCAATGAATGTGAGCTATAAAATTATTCTTAAACAGAGCAAAATAAGAAGCAGAACAAGTAAAAGACGTACGTTCAAATCCAACGCCATTCAAAAAAGCAAAGAAGTTGGGTTTAGATCGACTTGCCTGAATCTTCAACATCTTTTCGACAAATTTCAGAGACGAATAGTAAATGGTTCTGAAGATAGATTTTGATATTCTCAGATCTGGGGGCAAGGAAGAAGCAAATAAGGTTTAGATCTGAGAAAAGGGGTTTTGGTGGCCAGTCCAAGCATGCGATGAAGGAGAGTGAGAAACGGCAAAGTTCATGGTATAACCGACAACACCTTTTTTTCTTTTAAATAGATTTTTTGGGGTAAGATTTCGGATTCAATTATATCGTTGTTGGTTAAAAAAAAAAAAAAAGGCTCTTACACATATAGCAGTTTTATAGCAAGTTTGAATATAGCCAAACTTTTAAATATTATGAGAGTAGTAGAATTTTCATATTAATAAAATCGTGATTATATTATTTAGTATACAGGATAAATTACAATTTAATTTTTTTTATTACAGTTATTTGTCTCATAAAAATTTAAATTTAAATTTTTTTATTATAGTATTTTCTCTCACATAATAAAAAAGTTTAAATTGAGATTTAAATTGTGAAAAGAACACATTCTAAATAAGGAAAAAATTTTGGGTTGTCTCCTCGACTTCTCTCGTGATCTCTCCTCCATACCATTTTTCTTTTCTTTCCTTGTGCATCCTCCATTTCTCTCTCTCCAAACTCTCTCTCTCCTACCTTCTTTGACGTCATCGCAACCTCATCATCTCTCTAAGATTCTTCACTACAAGACCAGGTCCAAAATTTTCATGTAAATTGCCGAGCCCGAACCTGGCAGTCTTTAATTTTCACCTCTAATCTCAAACAATTTTAGGGTATTTTTTGTCAGAATTAAAAGAGTACGGACCAAATTATCACTAATTAAAGAACTTAAGAAATTACTCGTCTAAAAATGAAGTAGATAACATATTTTAAAAATATTTTGAAGTAATCTTCAATTTGCTTTCAATTATTTAATATAAAAAAGCTATTTATTTCTTTCTAAAGGAAAATAGTCATTCCAATCGATAAGGCGTTATTTAGAGTATGTATTCAAATCCAAATCATGATTGTAGAATTTTTCTCTCATAAAAAAATTTGAATAAAAAGAAATTCATGTCAATAGTTCCCTTTTTTTAATGTTTTTCATATGGAGATTTGGCAAGAAAGTCAATGATTTGTTTTTTTTTTCATTTATGGTTTTTATTTTTCTTAAGTTGGTGTGCTTAATTCTTTGTTATTAGCCTTCACTTCAAGTTTATGAGAAGCTTCATTTCAAATGTGGGTTTCTCAGGAAGAATGTAAAATTTGAATTTGAATCTTTTTCATACTTGTCTTAGTTGATTCTACACAAATCAGTTGTCTGCGATAAATATAAGTTAAAACACTTGTAGTTAGCATCCACCACCGGTGGTGGTGACATGATGGGATGACCTATTAAGGCTCTCTCTCATTAATCAGGGATTATTCCCTTCGTTTATAATGAGGCTGCAATTATGCCTCTTAGTCGAGCCTTTCGAATATAGATGGGTGCTGTAACTTGAGGGGTCCATGATTGTTAGTTTACAAAATATGAATCAGGTTTCCTTCATTATCCCACTTATTTGTCTTAATAGATTCTTCTCTTAAGACGTTGAGTGAGTGTTTTTTTTTATATATTACTTAGAAACAAAAAAAAAAAAAAAAACTTTTTGCATCCATCATACTAAATCATATTTGTTTTAAACAAAAAAAAGTTATTTATCATGTAATTAATTTCAAAAGAGCATCGCAATATTTATATCCTTACTTCCACGCCACGTGTCATGATAATGGATCTATCAGTTAAGCTCGGGGTGGTGAATTTCTTATTTGTATTATCTATTAATATGAACAAACATGGCCAACAAACACAAGCTTTTATAGCATGTTTATTTCATATACTTAAACTCAAATTATTGATTCTGCTATAATATTTTTCTCTCACAAAAAGTTTAAATTTTAAACGTAAAAATCAAGAATCATGGTTTGAATATACATTCTAAAGTGCTCCTAGTTCTCACAAAACAATAATGCATGACATATCATCACATAACCAATTATGTAACTTCTTATGGGCTCTGCTCTTCCTGAGTGTTCAAAATAAAGCATAACTCGTTGTAATATTTTATTTATGTTTTGCTGAGTGAATGCTGGTTCCAGTATAATTATACTGTACGTCATAAATCTGTAAGCAATGCCTGATGGACGTAAGCAAGAGCACCCGGACCGGGCGAAACTAAAAATGGGAATGGGATGCTGCTTTGCAAAATTATTTCCACCAGTAGATGCTTTTGTTATTTATAACATCAGTACTGTGTTTATTTTGATACTGTATCAAGTTACTAATATTTTGTCATACTTCAAAAAAAAAAAAAAAAGAAAAAGAAAAGATAAGATCGCGCGTCATACGCTCTTAATCTATATAAATGATAAGATTGTATGCCATTCTAGTTTTATTTATTATCTAGAAAAATTTTAAAGAAAATTCTAAGTTGACAATATGTATTGCTAACTGCATAATACATCATGTAGCATTTCTGTTAGTTTTACTAACAAGATCCATAGTTCTTCACCAACTTAAAGACACTGAATGGTGTTAAACAAGCATTTTGTTATGTTTGTGGTGCATAAAAAGTGAGTTTGTTTTATTCGTTCGTAAGACTCAAAATCATAATTAATTGGATATGGAGATGCTGAATATTTATTATTAATCTACATAAATCACGATCACAAACATATTACTTGTGTATATATTACGATATTATTATATATTGGCGCTTGACAAAGCAAACTCTCCCTCGCTATTTCTCTTAATTCTCTCGTAACTTTCTCTCTCATCTTCCTCTTTTATCACTTGTCAGGATCGAGTTTTAAAAAAATACTGAGAGAATGTTTAGTTCATAGATTCAGAATCATGATTCAGAACTATTCTCATTTTATGTATATTTTTTTTGAGAGAAAAATACTATAAAAAAACATGAATTATGATTCAGAATCAGTGACGAATATAGGATACAAACGTCCCCTGAATTTGATAGGGTTATATTCGTAAGATGCTTTAAAATTAACGTGAAACTACAGTTTTTTAAAAAATGAGTGGTCGAGACAAATTTTATATTGTTTGTAAAATTACCTTTTTGACCCTTTAATTTTTAATAAATTATATTTTGAAACCTTAATTTTCAGTCAACTATACATTTTACCGTAGCTTTTTAAGAATGACCTTTTTTATCCATCAATTTTTTTTGAAATTATTTTTGACCCTAATTTTCAGAAAATTTACATTTTAATCCCTTAATTTTCAAAAATTTACATTTTAACTTCTTAATTTTAGAACTCATATTTTGATCCTAAGATGAATTGAAATTATTATTTTTTGATTTTTTTTCTTTTTTGCTAATGCGAAAGGTATAATTACGTAATTGCATCTTCTTGATCTTGATTCTTTTTACATAAAAGAAAAAGACTAAAGAGGATCTGTTGGATATCTGGAAGAATCAGATGAAATCTAGTGAATGGTCTACTTTAAACAAACAGTTCCTTATTACATCTTACCATTTCTCTTCTCCGGTCTAAACCCTCACGCGCCCATTCTCTCTCTCTCTCTCTCTCTCTCTCTCTCCAACAACCAAAACCTCTCCCGTTCTCTCTCCTCCCCTGTGACTCCAACGAGTTTCGAAGCGTACGCATCATAATCTCATTTATTTCTTCTTTTTTTAAATTATTATTACTCGAGTTGTTTGTTTGGTTTCCGATTCGTTTTCCTAGTCATCTTCGCGCTTTTGATTCGCATTTCTAGTTTTCGCTTAAATTCGCACAATTGCGCGCTCAAAATCATGAATCCTAATAGGAGATATATATGTATATATATATATATATATGTGTGTATATCGATGATGAAATACAATACGCTTGTTGTTGTTGTTGGTGTCTTTTTTTTTTTTTTTTTTTTTTTTTTTTTGCATTTATCCACTTAATGCTAATGGGCACCAAATTTTGAATCCCAAATTGACTTGTTATGATATATAATCGGTAAATGGTATTATGCATATATTGCTCGAGTAGTTTGATTATTCTGAAGACTTCCCATTTTCTTTTATTCTTTTGAATTGGAAAGATGTAATTGGCTTATTTTATGCGATATATTTGCTTTTCGTTTTTTTTTTTTTTTTCCTTTTTTCTAATTTCTAGTTTGATCGTCATGTTGCACTGGTTTCGGTATCAGTATAAGGGTTTTCTTAAATAAAAAATATGCATATATTGTTTAACCAATTAGATATTGACAAGTGTATTGCTACATTACTTGGTGTCCAAGCTTCGTAAACAAGTTGGTACTGCTAGCATTTTTTTTTAATAAATAATTTGAAGGAGTTGATTCTGGTTGAAATTGTTGAAGAACGCTAAAGTGTATGATTTTAGGAAATATTGTTGAATGAAGAACACGTTTATATGTATCACGGATTGATCACATGTTCAAGATATCTCATAATCTCATTTTTCATATTTATGAGTTTTGCCTTCAATAACGCACAGACTGGCTAAGTCGAGCGGTCGGATGAGATTTGTAGCCATTTTGCTCGCTGTAGTAGATAATGGCTTCGCGAGCAATCTTGAGAAGAAAGAGATACATCTTAAATTCACTAAATCAGCCTTCTTGCTTGATTTGGGGTTCCTCTATTTTTGAGCGCGAGCAACCGTCGCAATCTAGTGAATTAAAAACGGCGAGCTTGTTTTCAAGCCATCTACATTCAACTACTGGTGATAGAAGCGATAAAGATGCGACTTCAGCTCTCTGGAATGATCCTCTGGATTTTAGAGTGGCAGAAATTTTCAGGCGTTACTCCTTCACCATATCAACTTTGGGCAATCGAGTTGGAAGGCAAGACTTTGTTTCTTCTCCGAGAGTTGTGTGGACTTCGCAATCTATACGCTATACTTCCATGGCAACAGCTGGTCAACCCAAATTTGGGAGCGGTGATCGTAGAAATGAACAGCAGGTTTCAGGACAGAAAACGGAACCTTCACCCGAGGAATGTGATCAAGCAGTTGAAGGTTTGAGCACTGTAAAAGCGAAAGCAAAGGCCAAGCAGATACAGGAATCTCCAAAGAGTGATAAATCTGTAACGATGAGAATGTGGGCCATGCTTTTGGGGATTGGTCCTGCTCTAAAAGCTGTCGCTTCCATGAGCAGGTTTGGAAATTTATTCCTCATTGTGTTGTGCTTGATCTCATATAATGCGTTTAGTAACTGTATTATATTTCAGGGAGGACTGGGCGAAGAAGCTTCATCATTGGATGGACGAATTTAAATCAACAATGCAGCATTATTGGTTGGGTACAAAACTCCTTTGGGCTGATGTAAGGATTAGCTCAAGATTGCTGTTGAAGCTTGCTAGTGGCAAGAGTCTTTCTAGAAGGGAATTGAAACAGCTCATCCGAACTGCAGCCGATATTTTCAAACTAGTCCCACTTGCTATTATTGTTGGAGTTCCATTCTTGGAATTCTTGGTGCCAGTAATCATTACATTTTTCCCCAACATTTTGCCATCCCAGTTCAAGTACAAGGTGCTAGAGCAGGTACTGGTTCTTGACAACCATTAGAATCTTTCCATTTGTATAGTTCGTTTGGTTGTTTTATACTCTAATTTCTTTGCAGATGGTTTTATTGGCTAATTTTTAACATTGAAGTCAGTAGTTTTAAGTGGATCTAGACCAAGATCTTTGAGACTATTTGACAAATCGCAACTCACAGGGAACATAGACATAGATGCCTGGTTTTTGGTGGTTTCATAGGACTTTATCATCAATACTACAGCTTCTTGTCCTTTTTTTTTTTTCGAAAAAAAAAGATACTTGCTTTACTGAAACTGAAATCAGTAGAAAGGAAAGAGAACAAAAAGTCCTGAAGAAGGCAAAATAAAAAAAGGAAAAAAATAACTGAAAATAACAAAAAGCACTTCAAACAACTAATTACCCCCATGATATCTTTTCAACTCAAAGCAATCAAAGAGAATGGAAATTCTTTGAAAAGACTCTGTCGGTTGAGGCCCTCAATGAAGCTGAGTATTTCACTTTTTCGGGAAAAAAAAAATCCAGAGTCTCCATATATCTTCAACAATATTACAGCTAAAGAATTAGAGCTGAACTCTGCTCCCATTGCGCAAGTTTCAAAAAACAATCGCATTAATCACATGTTTGGTTCTTGGACTTGTGTTGCCATAGTATTTGAATGCAGGCTAGCGTGACTTGTACAACCCATATTTTTATGTTTTTACACATGTATACCTTTTTCTTTCATGCTCAATTTGTCTCTCCCCACACACCAGGCTATTATTCATCTACAAAGATGATTCTATATCCTTCAAAATGCTTAAACTGTAGGAGGAGTTGAAAAGAAAGCTAAATGCAAGACTACAGTATGCAAGGTTCCTTCAGGATACAGTAAAAGAAATGGCAAAGGAAATCCAAACCTCACGAAGTGGAGAAGTTAGAAATACAGCAGAAGATCTAGATGAATTTATGAACAAGGTGGGTTTTAATCTTTTTTCCCCATTTCATAAAGGAAAGCTAGCACCTACCTTTTCATTTCATTTTTGACCTTTCTACTGTTTGGCTTTATTCTGCCGTTCAACAGGTTAGAAAAGGCGAGCGCGTTTCTAATGATGAGATTTTAGGCTTTGCCAAGTTTTTCAATGATGAACTTACTTTAGATAACATTAGCAGGTTGTATTTTCTATTACTAAATTGACAATATTTGGGAACTTATTATTGACAAGACTCTATCGTCTAAGTTATGTTATATTGTTGCTTGACAAACTTGCTTTTTTGGTTGCTGCATGCAGGCCACGGTTAATGAATATGTGCAAATATATGGGTATTACCCCATTGTCATATGTAACAGATTCATATTTGCGTTATGTGCTTCGTAGAAGACTGCAAAAGTACGAATTTTTTCTTTTCATATTTATAGTTTCCTCTTTTATTCATATAATAAGATTCTCATTTGATTGTACTACAAAAGAGTTAAGATTCATTTTCCACCACTAGATGGAAGTGTTATCTAAAATTGGTCCGCGATTGATATTATTCTCTACTGGTTACTCTTTGCTTCTTGGTGCATCATGTGTCTAAAAATAGCTTTTCTTTTTGACTTTCATTTGATTACATGTTTCATATACTTGACCATCACCAACCCACTTACGTTAACAATGAAAATATAATCCATTAAGTAACCAAGTTAAAGTATTATGGAACTTTGTGCATAGCAGTAAGCCTTTCATGTAGATAGGAAGTTTATTCTTTTTTTTTTTCCTTTTTCTTTTGTTTATTTAGTCATTTTGCGCATTCAAGTGATGCAAAAAAGAAGTGAATAACAATAGATCTTTATAATTCTCTACAAATTTCTTGAATTTATTTTTTTCGGCAATTTTTTGTTTTGTTTTTGTTATTACTATTATTTGGCAGGATCAAGGATGATGATAAGCTGATTCAAGCTGAGGGACTGGAGTCCCTCTCAGAAGAAGAGCTTATTGCAGCCTGTCGAGAACGGGGTATACTTGGATCACGCTCAGTGGAGGAAATGCGGGAAGAGGTTGGTGTTTAATCTACATTTCTTCATCTTGTTCCTTGACTGAAGATAGATCGAGATATGTCCTTTTCAATTGAAAGATTCCCTGTGATATTTTCTTACTCATGGATGGAACAAGTTTCTTGGTAATTTCACAATGTCTTTAGTACGGATAGTTTTTACTCATTAGTTACTATCAGGGATATCAACAAGCCATTCAAGCTTGATTGGCTGCAACCTCTTCTAGAAGATGTGCAGTAATGTAAGCTTAGGTCTGAACGAAATACTCTTAAGAGGACAAAAACCTTGATATTGTTTTATGTCCTGTTATGAGATTTGTTATGAGATTTCATCAATAGGATGAAAACTGAATACATGCATTGTATACATGCATTGTAGGTTTAGTAACTCAAGTAATCAGAGTGATGGAATTTCTTTAGATGGTGTGGATATTGGGGCATCTAGGAAGTTTAGGTACCTTGGGTCTATAGTGCGGTACGAAGGAGATATAGAAGAGGATGCTCAACATAGGATTAAGGCAGGGTGGGTTAAGTGGAAGAATGCTATGAGAGTTTTATGTGATGGCAAGATGCCTATTAAGTTGAAAGGAAAGTTCTTTAGGACTGCAATCCGCCCAGCTATGTTATATGGTAGTGAGGGAGGGGTAGACCAAGAATTACGTGGACCGAAGTAGTTAGGAATGACATTCTAGATCTAGGCCCTCAGGAAAGTCTAATTTCGAACAGAGCTGCGTGGAAAAGTAAAATTCATATAGCCGACCCCACTCAAGATGGGATTAAGGCTTGTTGTTGTTGTTATGAGATTTCATCGATTTCTACTTGATTTGCAAACTCCCAAGTTTTGACATTGTACAACTATCTCATGTCGATCAATAATTACTGAATTTTGATCAGGTTTTTCTTTAGTGCACAATTTACAGTGCTATTTGCTGCCATATCTTGTCGAGTGAAGTAATTTTATTATTATTATTATTATTATTATTTTTTTTTTTTGCATAAGTGGTAAACAAAAGCTTCATCTTGTTCGTGCATGTAATATTCACTTTGTTTGCAGTTGCGTGATTGGTTGGATTTGTCTCTCAATCAATCTGTACCGTCATCCCTCTTGATACTTTCTAGGTATTTTGGGGCAATATCTGTTTCTCAGTGTTTCAAGACATAGAGCTCTGTGTAATTATCTGCTAACCTCTGCAGAGCTTTCTCGGTGCGTGGCAAGGTGACGCCGGAGGAAGCTGTTCAAGCTACACTTTCCTCTCTACCAGATGAGGTCGTGGATACTGTTGGGGTGACTGCTTTGCCATCTGAAGACCCTGTCGCAGAAAGAAGGAGAAAGTTGGAGGTCTTAGAAATGCAGGAAGAGCTGATCAAGGTTTGTGATTATGCTTCTTCTTCTTCTTCCCTTTTTATTTTATTTTATTTTTTTCTTTTAATGTCTGCATCTTTAGTGGGACTTTAAGAAATGAAACTTCATATTTCTATTTTGTTAAGCCGACTGGCTCTTGCCGGCAGGATGTTGATCCATTTTTTTATTTATATTTTATTTTTTTAGCCAATTTCTTAATTTTTACTTTAATTCAAGCTGTGCATTTTTTTTTTCCCTAGATGGATGAGTTATTACGAAATTTCAGTTAAAAAGTTTTTCTTGAGGCTAAATCTTTTGTATATGCAATTGAGGCAACACAACTTAATTTTGCATTCTATGGGAAGTGCAATTGGAATTTCTAAATGCGAAAGAGCTTCATTGGAATATGAGTTTGCTAATATTTGAGAAGTCTATGATCTAAAACTTTATTGTTGCGTGTATTGTGAAGGAGGAAGAGAAAGAGGAAGAAAAGCAGGCTAAGTTGAAGGAATCTATTAGTAAACAGCCGGATGTGGCTCTGGAAGAGATGACTATTCCAACAGCTAGAGAAGCACAGGAACGGGCAAGAGCAAAAACATTAGACAAGCAAGGACAGCTTTGTGAACTCAGTCGTGCATTGGCTGTTTTGGCCTCGGCATCTGTAAGGATATATAATTGATTATCTGTTTAAGTTGGTGAAGTGTTTTCTATTTTATATGTTAGATTATTTTCTAATCTTTTATTTTCACTGTCTACTACTTTCAGTCAGTCAGGCTGGAGCGTGAAGAGTTCTTGAAACTAGTTAGAAAGGAGGTATACTAATATATATATTTATATATATGTATATATTTAAACTTTTGAATTCCATCAATTCTAAGAATTTCAGAAACCAATTACTTGCCCTTGTATGACCAAACAAGAAAAGAAAGGAAAGTGGTTTCACGGTATGGTGTCCCAAATAAATTGAGTTGGTTGAAAAATCTTTGCTCTCTGGCAAATCTATCAAATGTTTGAGATTGTTATATCTTTTAGTTTATTCTCCTTTATTATATTAATCTGTTGTCACAATCATTCTCAGATAGAGCTTTATAATGATATGGTGGATAAGGAGGGAACTGAAGGTGAAGAAGAAGCTAAAAAGGCATACAAAGCTGCGAGGAAGGACAGTGACCACGCTGCCGGGATGGCTCTGAGTGACAAGGCTTCTTCAGCACTTGCAGACAGGGTAATTAAATTTGAGGGAATTTTGAGTTTGATAAGCTTCATATTCCTTCTTCTGATATTATTTATTATTTCTTTTTTTTTTTATACATGCAAATGTCAGGTTGATGCTATGCTGCAAAAGCTAGAAAAGGAAATTGATGATGTTGATGCAAAAATTGGGGATCGCTGGCGGTTGCTTGACAGGTTTGTTTGTTTCCCTTCCTCGGATATATGACCACTAAGATTTCTAATCTGCGAGGGCAGTTGAACTCTTAAAAGGTTCGGACAGTCCAACAATTTTTAGAGAAAGTTTTTTGGCATAATTCAGCCCAAGTGATCTTATAAATCAGCTTTGGGTCCATTTAGCTATTAATATAGTAAAAATGCTGAAACTTGTATATAGCACAAGTAATTTTCGCATTGAAAGTCCATTTGGCTATTAATTATCCTTTTATGCTGAAACTCTAGTCATGACATGGTGACAATAAAAGAACCGCTTACTTCTGTTATCCTTTTGCAATTTCGTTATTTTCTAAAGATGTGAATAACTGATGAGAATAAAACTACTATTGTCATTACCAGGGATTATGATGGGAAGGTGACTCCTGAGGAGGTTGCATCTGCCGCTATCTATCTTAAGGATACATTGGGGAAAGAGGGCATAGACGAACTTATCAACAACCTTTCGAAGGATAGAGGTCAGTATATATTCTTTCCTCGGATCACCATACCTGTCTTTCTATGAGAAACAAAAAGTATGTCAGCATGTTATACCATAATTTGGAAGTACATCAATCTATATTTGAGATGCCACCATTCTGTTAATGATTTGTTATAATGTCCTTCTGCTTCAACTTCTTTTGTCCCGTTCATTTCACCGATTCGAGTTTTGCTATAGTAAAAAGCTCTCAGAAACAGTCACATTTAACTTTTTTACTACAGTAAAAAGCTCTAACATAAAATCACATCTCAATTCGAATTAAAAACTCGAATCTGCGAATGAATTGCTTTGCGGAATGAAAATATCTCAATACTCGTAGTGACCTTTGCTTCTGCTTTTAATCTTAACATTGTTCAAGCGTTGTATTGACATCAAACTTGTTCAAACAGACGGAAAAATACTAGTGGAAGATATTGTCAGATTAGCCAGTTCAAAAGAAGATGCTGATTCTATGGACGCAAGATAATTGTTAAGAGATGATGCCTAAGCCAAAGAGAAGATGATAAGAGGAAGCGATTTGCATAATTTCGGTCAAGATGGTGGCTGTTCAGGGCATCTGTTATATTTTTATTAAGGTGCTTCTCTAGTGCCATTTGTTTTATCTCTACCCTTGGGGCATTTAAAAATATATATATATATATATATATATAGATTCTTTTGTAGTTAGTTATAGGAATGATTTCTTAGTTACCAACATAATAATTTAATCAATCTTGCATCAAAGCAAGAATCAATTTTATTTATTTAATAATGCTTTTCCTTTAGGCTTTGTGATCGCATGTATATGACATTTGTTGATTATTTTGTTTGGGAAAAAGGTATTTTGTCTATGGCTTGAAACACGCGTCTCTTTAATCTAATGAAATGATTGGTGCACTTGTCTCTCGAAATGTGCCAATTTTTCATCGTGATTCAAGATTTGATTTTTGGCATATTCTCAAAATTCTTCTTTGTGTTTTGTATATTGTTTAGGGATGTTCTTCTATTTCTTTACGAATTCCTCGCATCAAATCTATCTCGCGCCATTTTGGTAAAAAGAAAGTACAGAAAAAGAATTAAAGTTGAAGGGAATATTAAGAGGAGTTAATTAACGACATCTATAAATATAGTGAAGAAAATATAACTGTTGTTTGGGAAAGTAAAATGGATGACAGGATACAGAAAATTTATTCTTAAGAGTGTATGAGTATGAATTTTTATTTGGTAAATATTTTTTTATTAGTGTAATTATTTGACTAAAAAAATTATGAATTAAGGGATATTTGTCAAGATTATTAAAAAAAAAAAGAGAGAAATTAGTGAAATAGCATATTTTGTAGGATGTTTAGTAAATTTTTGCATATTTTTTTTTTTAAAAAAATAGTAGATCTCCAAGCTCCAGCACGATGGCGGTGGCTCTTTGAGCTTCGGCGAAGATGGCAGCGGTCGTGGTACCAGATCGGCAAAGAGAGAGAGAGAGGACGGCTGGGTTGGGTCTGAGGTAGAAGAAACAATAATGTAGAGAGAGAGAGAGAGAGAGAGAGAGAGAGAGCTGGGTTGAGTCTGAGGTAGAAGAAACAATAATGTAACCCTAAATAAAAAGGGTAGATTTGGAAAAGACAATGAAAATTAATAATATGCTATAATTTATTATCATTTAAAAAATATACTTTTTACTTTAAATATAGATATTAAATATGCTATGTGGTATATTTTCCAAAAAAAAAAAAAAAAAAAACCAATGATAAAGGTTTCGCTTCAAGGAGTACAGAGGACCCCGAAAAAAAAAAAAGTTAATTTTGCGTAGTGAATTTTGGGTTTTCTGTTGCTGGTGTTTGTGCAAATACAAGTTGGAAGTTGTGCGTGATATTATTATTTTCCAAAACTATTGGTACAGTGAATAGACTATCTTTCCAAAAAAAAAAAAAAAAAAGGAGAGAAAATTGACTTGTATATACACACACTTGGCAGTCAAAACTTGAAAAATATATGGCACAGGCATACAATCGCTTCTCATCACAGCTGCATATGGTCTCTGCTCATGAAGCATAACGTAGTAGATAGGCTCATCTCTCTCTCTCTGTGTTGATAAATCACTCATCTTTCTGCGGACTGTGATCATTCTCCCGAGCAACAATGAGTTCATCAGGGAAGTAGGCATCATCACTGTTGGTCGGAACTAAGATCTCATCATCTGTGGTGAAATGGTATTTCTCACCAATTGCTCGAAGAAGCTGGTAAACTTCGAACATGGTAGGCCTCTCTTTTGGTGTTGGCAATACACAGTTGCAAGCGACTTTGAGAAACTGGGTGAGCTCGTTCTCGTTGTCGAAACCCTTTTGGAGCAAAGTCTTGTCAATGGCAGTTTTGAGGAGAGATTTGCTCGACAGCTCGGTAATCCACTCCACCAAACTTCCCTTGAAGCTTTCAGGAGCTTTAGTCACATGAGTTGGCTTTTCTCCTGTGATCAACTCCAAGAGAACCACTCCAAAGCTATAGACATCGCCTTTCGGAGTTGCCACCAACTTCTGGGGATATTCAGGAGCCACATAACCCAAATCTCCGAACTCACCGTTCACAAAAGTACTCAAATGGGTGTCAATGGGGTCCATCAGCCTTGCAAGGCCAAAGCCAGATAACTTAGGCTCGAAATCCATGTCCAAGAGAATGCACTTGGAGCTGATGTTCCTATGGATGATTCTAGGATTGCAGTTATGGTGAAGCCACGCCAGACCTTTCGCAGCTCCAATTGCGATCCTCAGTCTCAAGGGCCAGTCCATGTTGCTGGCTGCCTCGGATTCCAAAGGATGGAGTTGATCATACAGACTCCCGTTTTCCATGTATTCATACACGATACGCCTTTCCTTTCCCGCCTCACAAAAGCCTAACAGAGGAACCAAGTTGCAGTGTTTTAGGCTACCCAATGTGTTCATTTCGGAAGCGAATTCTTTCTTCTGATGTTGCGAGTCTTGCAGCCTCTTAACTATGAGGACTTGAGCATTAGGAAGCATTGCCCTGTACATTGTTCCAGTCCTGCTGCCGCCAATGATGTTATCCTTGTGGAAGTTGTCAGTTGCCTTCATGAGATCACTAAACCTCATTTTCGAAAGCGATTTCAAGAATACCGACACCTGAACCATCACATGCAAATCTCTATTAGCATATTATATAAGCAATCAAATATTCATGGTCATGAAAACCAAGAATTGATGAGATACAAAAATATAAAATTAGAAATTAAAGATGAATGTGTATATACCGGGATTATTTAGAATTTGGTTGAGTTCATCTGGTCATATCTGTCGTGTTATTTTGTTTTATTTCTCTATAAATAGGTCTAGTGATTATGTTCTCAATTCGGACTTGGTTGATGAACGAATATTGAGAGTTCAGACTTCTCTCGAGTTCTTGTTCCCTCTCTAGAATTCTAAATTTCTCTTCTCATTCTCTCGTTTTTCTTCCATTGTTTCGTTAATCTCTCTTGATTCTATTTCTCTCTCATCTCTATCTCTTATCTCTCTAGTTCTATATCACAAATACTATAGAGAAAATTTTGATAGTCATAAATCAAAAAGAAAAGAAGAACCCTCCTATATCAGCAAACATACACTATATATTATGAGCAAATTATTTATCTAGAAAACTTGCCTTGATTCCTTTGGTTCCTTTAATGCTCTTTGCCCATTTGTTACCCTCAGGATCATGCTCCTTCCTCATAACTCTCGGCGAGAAGTAGTACAAAGCAGAGGCCACAACAATAGCGGTAAGCACCCCCGCACCAGCGGCTGCAGCAGCAACAACACCACCACTGCGAGATTTCTTCTGCATAACGGGACATGACCTCAGTGGCGCCCCGCAAAGTCCTGGATTATTGGCATAGCTATCCGCCTTGGCTGTAGAATTTGGAAAAGCAGGGACTGGCCCTGTCAAGAGATTGTTGGCGACGTTGAACGTTTTGAGCCTACCGAGCTGAACAAGTTGCAGAGGTATATTCCCCGTTAACTTGTTGTTTTCAAGTTTAAGGACGTTCAGGTAAGTACAATTCGCGAGACTAAGTGGAATCTCGCCGGAAAAATTGTTGGAAGAAAGGTCAAGAGATGTCACATATTGTAGTCTTTTCGATATGTCGAAAGGGATAGGCCCCGATAGGATGTTGTTGGAAAGATCTAAGCCTGTCAAGCTAGTGCAATTCTCGATTCCACGTGGGAACTCGCCTCGGAGACCCATGTCTGAGAGGCGGATATTCAGGACTTTGTTCTCATCAGGGTGCCAACAATCCACACCAATAAACTTACAAATGAAGCCTTCAGTATTGTTGTTGAAATCCCAAGAGGCCAAGTAGCCATAAGGGTCGTTAAAAGATTTTTTTATGGTTTTCAAGCAGTAAATGTCATTCAAAGTGGCATGACTTAAACTAATACTACTAATACTCAGTAAAACCACCAAAGACCAGATCAAAGCCAAAGCCATTTGCCTAAAAGGCTTAAGATTCTTCAAACAAAATGAAGTACAAATAAAAGGTTCCTGCTCAGAATTGAAACCCCATTTGACAACTTTTTTGTGGTTATTCTCTGGTTCTCCTAAATGGAACAAACAAAACCAAGCAAAGAAAACGGAAAAAAGAAAAAAGAATCAAATTTTTATTGGAGTGAAGAGATGACAGAACTACAATAAAAAAGTCTAAAATGATTGCCGCAAGTTGTCACACAAGCTAAAGATAAAATCCCAATAAAAGGCTAAGATATTTCACACAAAAATGACTTGCGACTAAAAGGTGTTCTCAGAATTGGAGCAGAAAATCCCACTTGACAACTTTTTTGCTTAGTAAACAAACCAAGAAAACGAATTAAAAATTCAAACTTCCATTGGAGAGAGGATAAAACAAAGAAAAAGAGACAATTTCCCAATCAAAGAAGAAGAGAAAACTCCTCTAATAAAATAGACGCATATAGAAGTATATACTGAAAAAAAAAAGTAACAAATAAAAAGATATCCCAGTAAAGAGGCTAAAGATTAAAAAAACCCAAAAATTCTCTCATTTTGAGTTGGTACCTTTGGCTTTGAAGTGAGGAAGAATTGTGAAATGCCCAGATTATAAAATGGTCCATACATGACTGACTCAGTCACCGCGCTGCAGAGGATTAAAAAAAAAAATAATAACAAAAAAAAAAAGGCCAAACACTGGAAAACGTACAAGACCCTCTTACTCATCAAGAAAGAAAGTAAGAAAAAGCAAGGAAACATCACCAAAGACTTTAATGCTTGTTGTGGGAGTGACCAAGACTTTCTTCGTCCAAGTTATTTTATTTTATTTTATTTGTTTTTAAACAAACAAAACCCAGTACGCAAAAGTCAATAGGACAAGAAAAAGAAAAGAATTAAAGGTTGTTGTTTCGGGTTTGAAAATTCAAAGGCCAAAAGAAGAAGACTTGGACTAGTGGTGGGGACTCTTTGAAGTTTGGCATTACTTTTTTGCATTTTTCCGGGTAATGAAGTTGATAACATAACAAACTGATTGGTCGTTTGGTCTTTTGTTTTGGTCATACATTTTACGTATATAGATAGTGGTCGTTGGTCACCCGAAGAAGAAAATGCTATTCTTTCCACTCATATTGTTAGTGTGAAGTCACGGTTATGGTGGCCTTTTTCTTCTCCCTTTTTCACACTGGGAATTCTGGTGGAAATTTGGATGAACATCGTCGCTTTTGAAGTTTTCATATCACTTTATGTTTGATGTGTGAACGAGGTTTATATTTATTTAAAAATGGTATTTCTCGGTGGGTGCTTGCACTAGTGGTGCGTGCGTGCCTCTTTCGATCTGATGCTCCGGGGGTCTTTCAGCGGCTTCGCTGTTTTAATGCAGCGCCACTCATTTTAATCTCTCTCTTATGCAGAAGTCGTTACCACATTAAAAGTGTAAGTTTGTCTCGCCTGGGACTTTTATCGTGGTTTTAGTTTTCATTATGATGTAACAAAGACGCTATTGATTCTGCCATTTTAGTGTCTTTATTTTCGTTGTATAATAACAAAAGTTGTCACCGTTTAGTTTTCATTTTAATCGTCCTTTTCTCTGTTTTATCTCTCTTTAAAAAAAATTATACTTCTAAATTTTCCATAGTATCTCTAAAAAGTTTCATTTACGTCCTTAGTGCTTAGTTTTAACTATACCACATAATCTCAAATCTAGGAAACCAAATAAATCACACCTATCACGAGGAACAAAGAAAAAAAAGAAGAAGAAAAAAGAATGCATATAGCTAAATAAAAAGAGTAAAATAAAGGGAAAGGGTAAAATGAACTTCATTTTATTCCATTCAAAATTTAGGTTTAATAATATCCTTTGAAAATTTTTTGTGGCTTTGTCCCTGTTTGCAAGTGTTTAAGAGTGTACATAATCATCTCAAAGCAGAAACTCATTGATGGGCCAAGCGAATGAAACTCATTGATGGGCCACACGAATGATCTGCTTACCAACATTTTTCCCAGAAAATAAGCCAGCAAGAGAAGATGGACCACTTTCCAAGCCTTCATTTGTGTCTTCAATGTAAACAATTTTTCCTTGCTTGTAGTAACTAGTCACATATTCAACGAAACGTGGAAATAAGTTCAAGTAATCACTTTGTAGAAATCCCTGTATCCTGATACGTTTTGGTATGATATGGTATAAGTTGCGCATTTGCTGCGGACCAGAGAGGCTGGCTAGAGACACCATTCCACAAGCCGCAATTCTACCGAAAATCCTCATGTTTGCGAGCACTGCATCGAGTGTTTCCCCTCCCACATTGTCGAAGTAGATGTCGATGCCTTGTGGGAAGTACCTATTGAAGTAAGCAGTGCAACATGAAAGATTATTCCTTTGTAGTTTTAGTTAGATTTGAAAAAGGCGTCTTTCTTTTCTTATTTGATTCTTGACGAATTCTTTATAATTCTGTATAAACTCCCTTTAACAGAAATTTTAGGTGCAGAGTTTGCCTAGTTGCCACTTATACATTCTTTAATATAAAACAAAAGTTGCAGCACGAAAGACGTGTGAAGATATGTACGCATTTGATAACGAAGAAGAATATTACATTGCTTGATGAATTTTTTCAAGACTAACAAAATATGATGTGAAACTGCAGTTTGCAAAAGTATGCGTTGAACTGATCTGTGAATATGTGAATGGAAATCAACACGTGGATGACATGTTAACCTAATGTGTGATGTATCTGCAAATTTTCATTTGAGTTATAAAATTTATCTCATGTGTACTACATTTTTACTTAATGAGAATATAATACACTAATAACCACTCATTATGCATGCAAGGTTCGTGGATTGAAAGTAGGTTTGATGCTAAGAAGACGGATTTAAGACAATTTGATAATTAATTACCTCTTTAAAGCTGCCTCCAAGTCCGGTTCATCCTTGTAGTTAAAAGCTTCGTCAAAGCCAAGCTTATTCTTCAACAGATCAACCTAGCAAATAAAAATTCTTATTTATACTTTTGTTTTATATTGTTGGGAATGAAATATTGCCGCTTTTATCGTATGATATGTATAGCATTACTCGTGAATAGAAATGTTCACATTTGGTTAAGAGAAAGGGGCATTACTTTCTTGTTTGAACCAGCACTTCCAACTACATAGCAACCATGCAATTTAGCAAGTTGGCCAACAAGCTGACCAACAGCACCTGAAGCTGCAGAAACGAAAACAGTCTCGCCTTTCTTAGGGGAGCACACTTCAAAGAAACCCGCATAGGCAGTAAAACCCGGCATACCTGCATTAAAAAGATTTTATATTTTAGTAATTGTTTTGTACAACAATATCATAAATATTGACATATAAGCCACATTCTGCATAATTCTCTGGCTGTCTTCTTTTGACAGGAAAAAAAATACAGACAGAAATGTTTATGGAAAAAATGGAGAATTTACCCTTAAGAATGCATGAGTCTGGACCTTTACCCCTTACCCTTGATAAATACCCTTTTGTTAGTGTAATTATTTAACTAAAAAGGTTATGAATCAAGAGTAAAAAGTAAAAATCCTGACCCATACACTTTCAACGGGTATTTGTCAAGATTACCCATGTTTATGACCAAAACAACCAAAAAGAGCGCCATTATTCATCACCACACGTGGCATTTGAAGAGAATAAACACATTGCAAATAGTAAACGGATTATGGGTTTTAATGTACAGCTGCATATAGGTGATTATTAACAAAATTCCCTCCGCCCTTGGGCAGCAAACAAGTTGGTGCTGGGAGATACTATAGAACAGAACCGAAGAATATGACAAAATACAGAAATAAATGGGAATGGTAAGAAATTTCTGATAATATCTTTATATAATATATAGAGGTAAAGATATCATCTACATCCAGAAAGCCCCGTGTTTTTTAAGAAGCTTATACAATTTGGGAAAGGGTGAGGTTGATCAAAAAGATGATTCTACTTCAACTAATATGCCCTTAGGCAAGGCCATACGCAACACATAAACCATACTTCTAGCCAATAACATGATACAGAAAGGGATCTGAAAAGCCAGCTGAAAGGAAAAAAAAAACCCCCCGGAAGAAGCTGCTGGTTTCTAAACGTAGCTTAATTGACTGAGAATTTGTCCAGAGACTAATGTTAAAATTTGTACTTGATTATGTCTTCTACACATAAAATCAGCAAGTAAGTATATTTAAGACTATTTTAGAAACTAATTACTGGGATTAAAGACACATGGTCCATAATGAAAAAAAAAAGAAAAAAAGAAGTTTAAAGTGACCATTTCTACTCGAAGAAAAAATGATGTCTGTAAAGGCTTAATAACAAGGAAAACCATATGATTTTCTTTTCTGCACTCACATCTTCGAGTCAGAAATATAGTATGTGTACTCAAACATAACTAGGCCATTGAAGAACAGTTACTAAGGCTTATATGTTTATTTGAATGAACAAATTCAACATAAAGACATCAAGTGCAGGGAAAAAAAAAAAGAGAGATTCCAATACAAAGTTATATCATGCTCTAAACAGTTCAGATTAAGGCTCTTTAAAAGAATATTCGCTGTAATAGGTAGGTCTTTCACAATAAGAGCAGTTTATTGTTTGTGAAACTCACTTCTAATACTTCATTTGCTCTTACTTTGAGTACACTGTTTAAGAAGTATTATGAGCAAAAGCTCCCTAGTTCTTTCAAGACAAAATCAAGATCGAAAATTTATCAACTTGCTAACTCCAGAACTAAATGTTAATGCACACAAACAAGTAGTAAGAAAATGCACGACTCACTCAGGTAGAAACTGAAAGTCCAAGACAAAATCCAGTGTTTTCAGATCAAAGAAAATAAAATAAAAAAACAGAGTCTATAAGAGGATGGAGATAATGTCATTACCAAGAAGGCCCAAATGAAATGATAGAGGAATGTCATCATCTGGAACAAATTTTCTCAGCTGTTCATTTTTGCGAATGAAGCTGTATTCTTCCCATCCAGTAACACCAGAGACGAAGTCCCCGGGCTTGAAGTCTGGATCACTAGAACTCACAACCTTGGCCACACCAAAACCTTCAAGTGCCTTTGTCAAAACACACAATTACTAAGAAAATCTATAACCAGCACAAACAGATTACAGTGTTGAGAACTTCAGTTAGATTTCTTTATACTGCATTTTTCAGGTTTGAAATTGATCACGAGGAGAACTAAATAAATAGCAAAAATTGATCCAGTGATGTGCTTAATTTATAAAAGATTACTAGTGGTAACTAAAATCCTTATTGAGACTTGAGTCAGTTGGGTTCTAAGAAGGAACAAACTCATCATCATGATTGCCGTTGAACATATTACACAAGTTCAAGTAGTTATTCAGCAATAAATCCTTAATAATAATAATAAAAAAAAACCACCCACAATATGAAACTAGGAGAGACAAAAAACTCTCATGGGTCTCCTCATAAATTGCCAAAATCCTAATAAAACGTGAAAAGATATGGATTAAAACATTAATTTACTAAAATATTAACATTAAAATATAAAAGGAAAATGGACATATAAAATAAGCAGAAGAATTCAATCAACTTTCTTAAAATATCACTCGCAATACCAAGCAACAAGGTAAATTAACTTTCTTTCCTCCCTTCCCTTCCATACCAAAAATATCCCTCCACTTTTTCTTACCTTAATATAAAAAATAGTGTAAAAATAGGGGGTAAAAAAAGAAATGGGAAATATATATATATATATATAATAGACATAGTACTACCTGACCAGGAACATATGGAGGAAGGTGAGAACCATGGAAGTTACGCATACGACCTCTCATGTAAGGATCACAAGAAAGGTAAAGATTCTTCACCAATATGAACCCCTTATTGTTATCATCATCATTTGGAGGGTGAAGAAGATCAATCTTCCCAATCTTGATTTCCATGTCGTTTTCCTTTGGAATCCCATCTACGAAGTCTTTCAATACCACTTGCTTGTTCTCCACCAAAACCATTTTTTTCTTTTTTTTTTACACTAAGTTTGATAAGAGAGATAAGAGCAAAATTTCCAAATGAAGAGAAACTCGCATGTTTATATGCTGATCTTTGTGTGGTCAATTGATTGAGCCACTCAAGTTTGACCAAAAACCAATGAAAGTCTCGTGCTCAACTGCCCACCTAACCTTTCTATTAAAAATAAAATAAAATCACCCCAAACTATCATTTTATGCTAAAAGGCCTTGTCTCCGCCGATATTTTGTGATGCTGTCTATCTCTATGTACACATGTATTTGAATAAACTGTTATTAGATTATTGTAAGACCATAATCACGTGTTGCTTGATTCAGAATAGATGGATAAGGGTTCAATTTATTAATTAATTAATTAATTTTTTAATTCAGAATAAACATAATTTTTATTCTGATTAATTATTGTAAGATCTTCATAATTTATTTAGATTATTGTAAGATCTTTATAAACTCACGCCATTATGTTTTTATGATGAGCCTAAACCCGCACCCTATTGAACATGGATATACTGATTTTTTTTTTATTATTCGTTGTTTTCTTTTTCTTCGGTGAATAAGCATTACCAATGAAATGTCTAAAACGACAAGCATATGCATATGCTTGTCGTTTGTACTCAGTTCTTACTGTTTAGATCATTGTCGTTTCTTTATATCAATGAACTTCGCCGTTTCTGACCTTCTCAGACCACCAGGAAAACCGAAAACCCCATTTTCTGAGATCTACTAAACCTAGGGAGAGAATGAATGTGGAGGCTTTACCAGTTGCAATCAAGCCAATTGCGCAAGCATTGAAAGGCCGAGTTATGACTTTTTAGCAGGTCATCAAGAATAAATTGAAAAGCTCCCTTAAAGATGGAAATATGCTCGAGTATAAAGACAAAGTTATGACTTTTTAGCAAGTGATCAAGAAAAAAACAATATATTTCTTTTGCTTTGTGCTCAACACAAGGAAGATGCGTGAATATTTATGCTGCAAGTTACCGACTTGTTTTCTGACGTTGGACACACTGCAGGATGCAAGAGATTCAGTGTTTATAACCTAAAAACTGGTTGTCTATTGAAGATGCAACACTGAAATTGCATCATGTTATTCGTCAAATCATGACATCAATTGCAAAGGAAGATGAAGCATGTCATGTTTTGAAAATTTTGAAAAGTTTAAGCAACACTCGAATATCGGAAAACTCAAAGATTCGACTGCAATTTCGCTACTTGGTTGTCATTACAACTAAAATTATTTGGTTTCCATAACTAAAATTTAAAACTAAAGGAAACAAAAACCCAAAAAAAAAAAAAGGGGTCTTCCAACAGGATGAGGATATCTCGTATATATTTGAAGATAATTATAAGAATTAAAAAATGACTATTTAAAACAAAGTTATTATTAGAAGAACAATTGATTATGAACTTTGAAGACAGTATGTAGACGTACGGTCATTATTTACTTTTGAATTGAAATCTTTCTGAAATTTTGATTATACAACAGAATAAGAAATACAATGGAAACAAGATTACTTGTGATGAAGATTTCTCGTATATATTTGAAAAGCATTATATCGAAAATACAAAGTGATAATATAAAAAAGTTTAAATAAAAAAAGTGGTTCGGTTGTTAAAAAGAACTTTATTAAGAGTATTATAATTAAATTTACTCAAAAAAAGTAATATAAATTTTGAAAGACAATTAGAATATCATTTGAATTGAAATATCTCCAAAATAAGATCAGTACTTATTATCACGCTAACTAAAATATCTCCAAAATAATCTCTTATTTGAAAATTAGCTCACAAAGTGCGGTACTTTTGAGCACTATTTATAAGTGCATTGAGAACAAAACTATATTGCCGAATATCAATATTTTCTCCTTTGGCTGTGAAAGAGAGTTGAAAATTAGAAGGTAACTTAAGATGAAGAAACATTCGGTTTTTCTAGTGTTGTTCTTCACATTGAATGCTTCAACAATATTCATCCCTACCGTGGAGTCTAGAGAGGGTTGTCCCGGTCCGTTCTTCCCTCCTACACCATGCACTGGTGATGTGTTGTTCAACATGATTGTTCAGAAGCGTCCTATTAGCTCCTCTTGTTGTGCCGCAATTTCCGACATCTCCAACAATTGCCCCAGCCCATTCCGCCCTTGGTGGTTCTTTAAAACCGAGAAGAATTGCATAGAGAATGAGGTAACTCCACCTGCACCCTCGAATAACCAGGGTGATAAAGCAACTCCACTGCCACCGGATCAGCCTAAGAGCTCAGAATCTCCGCCACCACCCGATCAGCCTAAGAGCTCAGAATCTCCACCACCACCGTCTGTTAATCACGGACTATGTCCTGATGTTTCGCGCTTATACGTGCCATGCCATGAGCAGATAGAGGCCTACTATGAACACAATGTTCCTATCAGCCCCTCCTGCTGCGCCCTCATTATTGAAGTCCACAACAAGTGCGGTCTCAGGGACTGGTCAGACATGGCCATCAAATGCCATGACTACTGCGTCAACCACCACTAGTCTCGGAACGTACTGCATCTTTATAATTTTAGGTTTTTTTTTTTTTTTTCTTTCAATAACTAGTTGAAGGAATTAGTGTGTCAGATTCGATTGCCCTTAGAGTAGTATATAGGATTTATTATTAATAGTTTCTTTTTTTTAGAAATGGCCGCTTTGGTTGTTCTAAATCATGTCAGTAGGTATGTTTATGTTCTTTTTGAATTTGAGTAATGACGGCAAGCTTTTAGTTTCATACTTTGATTCTCCTCAATCACTATATATTTTCTTAATCTTTCTGAACTTATTTTATTTTATTTTTTGTTTTTTTCAAAAGACTGACTGCATGTTAAGATCAAAAAAGAAAAAAAAGTAATATCTTGGAATAAATGCTCTCCCGATTAGTTTATCCATCTCTTTTATATATCTCTAGACTGTAAATCTATAAATATAGATATAGATATAGATTAATGGTTGTTTTCTAGTTTTTAATGAAAATGCTTTATTTCTCTTAAATAATAATCGCAAGTTTTTATTTTTTTTTTACCTAAAAAAAAAAGCCACGCCATTTATAAGATCAATATGACAATAAAGGAAATACGTAAATTTTTTCTGTCAACTTGTCAAGATCGCATTAATCACAAGAGGCAATAGTTATATATTAGAGTAATTAGCGTAGCCTTTAATTAACTCTTTATTAAGTGATATTTTGGTCACCGTTTCTTAATTTACACAAATCACGTCCTTAACCTAAAAATTCTGCATAAAACCTAATGTTCAGGAGTAAATTAAAAAAAAAAAAAAAGCAAAACTTAAATTAATGCATTTAATCCAGTCGGTAAAGTGCGTCTGAATTCGAAGAATCCCGGTGTCAAGTTGAATGATTTACGTTGGGTTTTTAGTCCGTTTAATTAAATGGTATAAATTTCCGTCGTAACAGAACGAAGTATGTTTGGGTGTGTGAAATCAACATTCATTTTATTTATTCAAAATCTTAGATATCTGCAGTGAAATTAATGCAGTCATTTGAAGGTTAAATTAGCAGTTGGGAAACTACCGTAACGTCCATTTATTTTAAATAACGAGTTATTATTTTGTAGGTCATTTGTAGATTCTTCCAGCTATCCCACGTAATGTCCATGTACTTATCTCCTTAATTTTTCTACACTGCCTGACCTAAAAAAAAGTCTTTCTAAAGCTCTTTTTATTTCATATATATATATACACACACACACGCACACATTTATGAGGCAAGGAGAAGCGAGTTAAGCAACCAAATAGAAAAAAAAAAAAAAAAAAAAAAAAAAAAAAAAAAAAAACAAGAGAGAAAGTGAGAGTGAGATCGGGCAAAAACAAGAGAGATAATTAAGAAAGGAATAAACAAGTATGAACCAAGTAGAGAAAAAAAAGGAAAGGAAAGAATTGAGACGGGTGTTGTAACGGCAAATCAAATGGAAGCAAAAAAAAGAGAATCTGATAAAGGAAACCGAGGAAGAAGAGCGTGGATTGAGGTAGAATAACATGGAGAGCGTGTGATGTTTCTATCGTTTTTAAGAAATTTCAATGCAATTTATATTGAGATAGATATAATCTCCTTCCGATAGAAACATTAAGTAGAAATATGAACGTCAAAAATGTGTGGCGTAAAAAAAAAATTGAACTTTGTGCAAATATTTCATGCCAAGTTTTTGTTAATTATTTGGGGTTTGGTTTGATATTTTTCTATTTGTGATAACATGGAGAGCGTGTTCAAGCAAGAAGATTTGGAAAAGACATGCAAGTTATATGTAAAAGGGAAAAAAAAAAAGAAAGTTTACTAGTTAAACTGTACCATTCAGATGAAAATTCAATAGATTAAAAGCAGTCTCCATCAAAAGATGATGGCAAATAGATAACTAAAAAAAAAACCATTCACATTTCTTGACCCCTTAGCATGCATGCATGCTATATATACATGTGTAGATATCCTCCCCTTCCCCACAAACGAGTGAAAAAGTGAGGAAAAGTCTTGGCAGCTCTATAAAAGAAACAACGTCAAACTAAGAATTATGGATTTCCAACGTCTGATCTCTCTGATGGCTTCTTCGAGTCTTTTTTGCTTGGTTCTCTCTTTGCCTAATTTCGCTTATGGACAATACTTAACTGATCGTGTTCCGGCTCTGTTCATCTTTGGGGACTCCGTTGTAGATGCCGGAAATAACAATGAGTTGCTCACCATCATCAAAGCGAACTTCCCTCCTTACGGCAGAGATTTCATGAATCAAAGAGCAACAGGCCGATTTACTAACGGCCAGCTTGTCACTGATATTATAGGTAATATACTGTCCTACGTACAAAACCCGATGTATCACTCCGCGCACAGTCATCTTCTCTAATTTACTCATATTTATAGTCATTATGTATAGTTTTCTTCAATTAATTAATTTCTTGTCAATTAATTAATTTCTTTGACAGCCCGCCGCATTGGATTTCCGAGGTATCAGGCAGCTTATCTTAGTGAAGAAGCTGAAGCAGAAAACCTCTTGATAGGAGCAAACTTTGCATCAGCGGCTTCTGGCTATTACGATGCTACGGCGGATTTGTTTGTAAGCTTCTAATATTGCTAGATTTTATGAAATTAATGTGTGTGGATGTATTATTTTTCTATATAGCTTATGTATGTGTGTATACATACATACATATATATATATATATATATACCAATTATAGCATATATGCATGGTTAATTTTGCTGCATGCAGCTAGCTATTCCTCTAAGTAAGCAATTGGAAAACTACAAGGAGTACCAAGGGAAGATAGTGGAACTAATAGGAGCAGAAAATGCTTCCTCACTGTTTTCTCGAGGAATCCACATCGTTAGCACTGGAAGTAGTGACTTCCTTCAGAATTATTACGTCAATCCAGTTGTAAACATTCCCTACAGGATCGACCAATTTTCTAACATGCTCGTCCAAATCTATGCCGATTTCATTGAGGTACCGTACCTGGTTAATATTTCTAATTATCTTGATCTAATTAAGACATAATATTAGTCTAGGAAATTAAGTGTGTGTATATATGTATATATATATATATATATATATTAGAAATGTTATAATTACGAAATAATAATTAACAACAAATTTGAATGGCATTTTTAATAATTTAAGTTTTGTGCGATACATATATATATATAGGATTTGTATGGATTGGGAGCACGGAGGATTGGCGTCACAAATTTGCCACCAATTGGGTGCTTGCCGGCCGCCATGACATTGTTTGGGTTAGGCGCCGGCAAGGATCATGAGTGTGTGGAGAAACTAAATCGGGATGCAAAACTCTTCAATAGAAAACTGAATTCAACATCAGAGCTGTTGAAGACTAGGCTTCCTGGTTTAAAGTTGGTCCTTTTTGACGTTTATGAATCACTATACACTATCATAGCAGGATCTAGTGAAAGAGGTGCATGATTCATTTTAATTTGCTATTTAGTACCCATTCTTCTTGGCTTAATTACTTGTATGAATTGTATATGTATTTTTTTGTCTGTTTAATTTGTAGGGTTTTCCGAGACAAGACGCGGTTGCTGTGGCACAGGCTTGATTGAAACATCAGTATTATGCAACGACCTATCTCTAGGGACTTGTGCTAATGCTACCGAATACGTGTTTTGGGATGGTTTCCATCCCTCCGAAGCGGCCAACAAATTCATTGTTGATGATTTGATTTCAGCTGCATATTCTCTTGTCTACAACTAAAAAGTTTTTTTTTTCTTTTTTTTTTTTGTCATCTTCTTTTGCTTTATCTGCCTTTCCTTTTTATTTTTTATTTTACATCTCTTTTATGTTTATTTGTTTTTTAATGGTACAACGTATTATTTAACTGAGTGCATTCCTTTATTGTACTTTTTTAATTTTACTAGTAGAACCACGCGCACGTAAAAAATAACTTTATAAGTTTAATTTCGCATCAAAATACATAAAGTCTTTAAAATTTATGGTCTCGTTCACTTCACCGATTTGAGTTTTCAATTTTAAGTTTTTACAATAATAGCTCTCAGAAAATATCACATCTAACTTTTTTTGCTACAGTGAAAAGTTCTCAGAAAATGTCACATCTCAACTCGAATCTGTGAAGTGAACAAGGCCTATATCTATTAATTGGCGTAAGAGGAAAAAAAATATTCCATAGAAACATATCGAAAAAAAAAGAAGACATTTAGAAAGAATTATTTTAATTAAAAGAAAGTGAGAAAGGAAACTATTTCAAAAAAGAATATAAAAAGTGAATGGTCAAAGAATATTAAAAGAAAAACAAAAAAAGACAAAAAAAGACAAAAAAATTTGAAAAAGAAAAAGAGGAAAATACATTCATTAAGTTCAACCTTTCAATAATTATCTAACCATTTGATCACCTCTCGGTCTCACAATTACCAAGATTCTTATAACGATTACCTATGTGTTGATCACCTCTCGGTCTCACAACAACATTAGATTGTGCTTCCCTATATTGATATTCGAACTAACCTCCCCAAAGCATCAACCCAAATATCAACGAAACTTGTCTATTTTCCAATCAAACTAGACGCATTAAGTTCAAGAGAAACACAAATGATTGAGTCAAGATTTCATTAACAACCAACTAAATATTCACAACACAGTTCAAGCTACATCAAGGCCCTAGTTTAGAAATCTAGCCACACACGGTCAAATCCATAAGCATAATCATCATGAAAATCATAAAAGCAACCATGTGGTCACAATATCACAATTACAATTTTCAAATGAAAATCAAAATAAAAAGAGTAGAGATTAAGAGAAAACTATAGTAGAGTGATCTTCAAGGCTTCAATCTTCAAGAATCTTCCAAGATGTCTCCAAGAAAAATCCTCCAATTTTCAGCCGCCAAGCTATCTCTTCTCCTTGAAGTTTGTGCCTCCAATCTTTCTTGATAAGTGTGCCTCTCAAAATTAGCATTTTTGTAGCTCAGTGGTCTCTCCAATCACCTCCAAAGGAGCAATCTCGACTCTTCAAATCAGATCAAGGGACAAAAATGACCGAAACTTTAATCAAGTTGGAGAGGAGATGCTGCCGCAGGGGGGTTGGGCTGTGCGCCCCTCTTGATGGCGTGTTCGTGCCATTATGTTGCATGTGCACGCCTCTTGCTTCCAAGAAGGAGCCTTTGTGCCCTTTTTGTTTGGTTTGCTCTAAATTTTGATCCAAATTGTCACTACGTTAGATTTTCTCCAGTTTCCTACAAAATGCACAAAAACACATCAAAATGAAAACAATGCTTGAGAATTAAACAAATAATTAAGCTTAAAAGCATTTAATTTATTATTAAAACACTCACTCATCACACTTTTTTTTGGCTCTTTTATGTATGTTTAAATTTAGATTATCAAATATAATAACGAATTGACAAAAAGTATAAACTTTGAAGATAGTATGTAGACGTACGGTCATTATTTACTTTTGAATTGAAATCTTTCTGAAATTTTGATTATACAACAGAATAAAAAAATACAATGGAAACAAGATTACTTGTGATGAAGATTTCTCGTATATATTTGAAAAGCATTATATCGAAAATACAAAGTGATAAAATAAAAAAGTTTAAATAAAAAAAATAGTTCGATTGTTAAAAAGAACTTTATTAAGAGTATTATAATTAAATTTAATAAAAAAAGTAATATAAATTTTGAAAGACAATTAGAATATCATTTGAATTGAAATATCTCCAAAATAAGATCAGTACTTATCATCACGTTAACTAAAATATCTCAAAAATAATCTCTTATTTGAAAATTATCTCACAAAGTGCGGTACTTTTGAGCACTATTTATAAGTGCATTGAGAACAAAACTATTTTGCCGCATATCAATATTTTCTCCATTGGCTGTGAAAGAGAGTTGAAAATTAGAAGGTAACTTAAGATGAAGAAACATTCGGTTTTTCTAGTGTTGTTCTTCACATTGAATGCTTCAACAATATTCATCCCTACCGTGGAGTCTAGAGAGGGTTGTCCCGGTCCGTTCTTCCCTCCTACACCATGCACTGGTGATGTGTTGTTCAACATGATTGTTCAGAAGCGTCCTATTAGCTCCTCTTGTTGTGCCGCAATTTCCGACATCTCCAACAATTGCCCCAGCCCATTCCGCCCTTGGTGGTTCTTTAAAGCCGAGAAGAATTGCATAGAGAATGAGGTAACTCCACCTGCACCCACGAATGACGCGGGTAATATAGCAACTCCACCGCCACCGGATCAGCCTAAGAGCTCAGAATCTCCACCACCACCGGATCAGCCGAAGAGCTCAGAATATCCACCACCACCGTATCGTAATAACGAAACATGTCCTGATATTTCGCGCTTATACGTGCCATGCCATGAGCAGATAGAGGCCTACTATGAACACAATGTTCCTATCAGCCCCTCCTGCTGCGCCCTCATTATTGAAGTCCACGACAAGTGCAGTCCCAGGGATTGGTCAGACCTGGCCATCAAATGCCATGACTACTGCCTCAACCACCACTAGTCTCGGAACGTACTGCATCTTTATAATTTTAGGTTTTTTTTTTTTCCTTTCTTTCTTTCTTTCTTTCAATAACTAGTTAAAGGAATTTGTGTGATTTATTATTAATATTTGCTTTTAAAAAAATGGCCGCTTTAGTTGTTCTAAATCATGTCAGTATAGTATGTTTATGTTCTTTCTGAATTTGAGTAATGACGGCAAGCTTTTAGTTTCATACTTTGATTCTCCTCAGTCACTATATATATTCTTAATCTTTCTGACCTTATTTTTTTTCTTTTTTTCTTTTTTCTTTTTTAAAAGACTGACTGCATGTTAAGATCAATTAAAAAAAAAAAAACGTAATATCTTGGAATAAATGCTCTCCCGACTAGTTTATCCATCCCTTTTATATATCTCTACACTGTAAATCTATAAATATAGATATATATATATATATAGATTAATGGTTGTTTTCTAGTTTTTAATGAAAATACTTTATTTTTCTTAAATAATAATTGCAAGTTCTCAATTTTGTTCTCTAATTTTCTTCTGTTTTACTATAATATTCCTTCATGTTTTTTAACCTTAAAAAAAAAAAAAAAAAAAAGGCCACGATCAATATCACAATAAAGGAAACACGTAAATATTTTCTATCAACTCGTCAAGATCGCATTAACCCCAAGAGGCAATAAGTGTACGTATATAAGAGTAATAAGTGTAGCCTTTAATTAAACTCTTTATTAAGTAATATTTTGATCACCCGTTTCTTAACTTACACAAATCAAGTCCTTAACCTAAGGAGTAAATAAAAAAAAGTGAAATCAAAAGAAAAGAAAAAAAGGAACAGTAATTTATAATCTCCTTATGATAGAAAACAGAACAAAAACAAAATTATGCTATAATTTTTTTATTAAAAAAATAGGAAAAGAAAAGGAGAAGAAAATTTTTTAGAATCGGTTATCGGTTGAAGCACATTTATTTGTTTTTATTTATCTGAGAAAGGAATTTAACTATGTTTGGTAGGAAAGAAAAGTAGAAGGAAGGAAGAAGGTGGAGTGATTTTGAGAGGGAAAATAAAAATGTAGGTTATTTGGTAAGAGAGAAAAGAGAAAGGAAGAGAAAATGGAGTGAAAAATAATACATATGGGCCCCACTATTTTTTTTCTTTCCACAAGTGGGCAGAAAATGAGATGAAAAATAGGGACAACTCATTAAAGTGAGCAAAGTTACTAAACTACCCTTTTCTCCATCAACATCTAAGCAAAAACTTTAAGGGTATAAAAGTAATTTACGAGTAAAATTTTTTCTTTATTCCCAATTTAACTTCCAATACTAAACAAGTGAAGGTAAGCTCATTTTCTTTCCATCTTCTCATACGAAACAACATAAAAGAAAATCAATTTCCTTTCCATTATTACTATTTTCCATCACTTTCATATTTTCTTTCTATCTTATTTTCTTTCCTTCCTAACAAACATAGCATAAATAAAAACTTAGATGCAAGGATATCATAATCAAGGTTAAATACATTTAAGACTTGTGTCCAAACAGACCCGGAACGTTCCATAGAATTCCATTTCTATTCGGCCCCTCCTCTACCTCTGCTGGAGAGAAAGGCAGGAGAAGAAGAAACCCAAAATTCATTCAAAAAAAAAAAAAAAACAAGAAGAAGAAGAAAAAGAAGAAGAAGAAGAAGAGGAAGAGGAAACTGAAGAAAAAGAAGAGGAAACTGAAAATCAAGCTCTGAAACGATGTCGTTTCAGGAGGCTGTTGAGAACTACGATCACCGCCAACGACACCAACCACAACTCACCGGTGCGTTTCCCACCTTCTTCTTCCCAAAATTTTTTTTATTTATTTTCCTTTTTATTGGTTTGGATTTTCAGTTTTCTATCTACAGTCTCTGGCTCAAATGCAACAACCAGTTTATAATCATAACAACAATAATTATAAATTCAAATTATGGAAAATGAGTTTTTTTTTCATGATTTTTTGTGTTGATTGGTTTTTATAGTTGGGTTGGGTTGTTTGCTTCAGCATTTATTTCAAAGAAATTTAACTAATTTATCCAAAACCTGGGAAAAATGATTGGGTTTCTAGGGTTTTTATATTTTATTCTATTTTGTTTATTTACTATAAGCATTTTGGCCCAGCTCTCGTTGTTTGCAATCTTTTTTTCCCCCTTTTGTTAGCAATACAATCTTTGAATTTACCAAAAAGTAGGAATTTGTTGGCGGCAGTTAAATTTTAGACGAAGTAATTATAATTTTTTTCACAGCCCTCTGAACTTCTTGTAGTTTGGTACTTTTGTCTTTTCTTTTCTTTTTTAGAATTTATTTTATGAATTAGTCATAGAATTCCCTTAAAATCAACTACCCTTGATGATCAGAGTTTATTGGTACTCTTTTGGAAATTCAGGGACTGAATTGACAGAAAAAAGTGCCTAATCACGAAAAGTTTAGGGACCCATCTTATATTGTATATAATATTTAATACAATTTTTTTGATGGGTAGCTTGAGAAGCAAAGAATGAATATAACTTTGGTTGTTCTGTTGCATTTTTGTTGTGTAGACATGGAACACAAAGTTGGTGGGAGCGCTGAACCAAATGCTGAAGTAGGATGGTATATCCTTGGTGAAAATCAACAACATGTTGGTCCCTATGTATCTTCGGAGTTGCTTGGTGAGTTTAAATTTGGTATAAGAAACTGTTCCATTTTGGAAAATGTTTTTCAGCTTTCTGGATTTCAAATACTAGTATAAAGAAACTGAAAGATTTTCTGTGGTTTGAGATTTTTTTTCCTTTAATTGTTGCTTAAATATTTAGTTCCTTGAATTTAATGGTCCAATTTTTTGAATTTCAGTTCTACTACCAGTAATCAATACCCCGATTTCAAGCATAGTTCCAATCTGTATCATGTTCAATTGGTCTAATGAGCTATTGAACCATCTGCTTTGCTTATTTACTTCGCGTGGACAGAGCATTTCTTGAACGGATATCTCACTGAGGCTACGTTGGTGTGGTCCGAAGGGAGGAGTGAATGGCAGCCATTGTCCTCAGTCCCTGAGTTGATGGCATACGTATCCCAGCAAGGAGCTGATTATTCTAATGCAACAGGTTGGCAGCTGTAGTTTTCTCGCTCTCTTTATCTTTTATTTTTTCCCGGAATATTATATTGGGGGCAGGCATTGTTAGTAACTTTATGGGTTTTCTTCTTAAGAAATGTGTAACGTCATGTGCAGAGCCCTCCAATGATGATGAGTTCGAGAAATGGCAGAAGGAGATTAGAGAGGCAGAGGCAGGGGCAGAAGATGGATCTCATGGTGCCTTCTTGGAAGACGATAACGACAGACCATCAACACCGCCAGAAGGCGAAGAAGAATTCACCGATGATGATGGGACTACCTATAAATGGGATCGAGGTCTTAGAGCTTGGGTACCTCAGGTTGGTGCTTTGGACAATTATATTCTTCAGAGCTATTTGTTTTTGCTTTTTTTTTTTTTTTAATCTGAAAGTCGTTTGGGTCAAGCTCGAGAAGTAACAACTAACAAGCTATTGACTTAAAGGAACATAGATTCCTGCTTATTGATAGGATTATGTTAGTAATTAGTCATCAATATAATAAATGGTTAGTGGTAATAGAGTAATAGAAATTGCTATTGATAGATGCTATAGAGAAACTACAATGGTTGATAGACTTTTGAGAGGCCTATCTCTCTCCCAATAGAGCAAGCTCTAACCAAACCCTCAATATCCTGCCTACCTCCCCTTTAGCCCCTTACTGTTGCTTATATACTACTAATGTCTAGCTTAACAATATAACCAACCAATTCTAATAACAAGCCACTAACCATTTATTATATTGATAGCTAATTACTAACATAATCCTACCACTTATGTAATGATACCATGATGCTGCCTCAGTGACATTTCGTTGTGGTCTCCCTCTAGATGGAAGATCTAATAATACTTGAGTGGGTTATGCATACTCCCGAATATTACTTAAATACTCCTCTGGTAAAATTTGAGCTCAAAATCCATTAGTACTTAAAAAAAGGGAAAATCTTGTGTTGGAATGTGCTTTACAATGATGGAATGGAATGTTATTGCTTTGAGATTTTTTGTAGCATTGCATAGTTAGCGATAAACTCCATTAGTCTAGTGTCAACTTCATCTTAAACTCATGAAAGTTTGAGTAGCTTCTAGCTTGTTGCGTGGG